CATCCCTGTTCTCTTGCCCGTGTGAATAGTCTCTTTTGAAAATACAGCAAGGTGAAATTTAACGCCTCCTCCCACTCTGTACCGAAACCGAAGCAGAAATCTCAAGGAGAGCAGACAAGTGAAAAGAAAAGGAAAGTGGGGGCATGCAAGGATGCTGGTGAATGTGGAGAGTGGTATGAAAAATAAGCCAGAAGTTTTGTAAAGAAACGTGACCTCAAGGTTAGGACAGAAACAACAGAAAATGTCTGTACATCCGTCAGTGATCCACACGTGTCGCTTCAAATCCAAACCACTTAGAGAAAAGAACTAGAAAATAATTATCAAACTCATAGCAGAATTCTAATTTCTCTCTCTGTGACAAGTTTCCATTAGCTTGATTGCTAATCAGCAGCACTTGCGATGAAAAAAGGTCTTGTAATCAGAAGATTAATAAGCAAATCAAAAGGCAACATGAAAGAGGAAACTGGCCCCCAACGGGCATAAAATCTTTACAACTGATGCTTTACCGTGACGGTGATTGAGTGGACAAGTCAAGTCCATTTCAAGCTGTTTTTCACAAAGGCACACTCAACTAAAACAAACACACAAACAAACAAAAAATGAAAAACAGCTTTACCTAGCCTGAGGGAGGTTTATAGCAAGCAAAAAGCTAAATCAATGTGCTGTGAGGTCTGTTGAGTGTTTTCCATGTCAATAATCCCAGTTAGATTTGTAATTTATGCAGCACACCTGACTCGCACGAGAGGCAGTTATACGCTCAATTTTACAGCGGGAGTTGTCCTCTGACAATACTCCGCTCCAATCCCACAGATTCTGAACCCAGGGACTACTCTGAGCTGTCTCCACCCAATGAAATAGAGCACTTACAGTAGCACCGACTTTAATGCATTTAGTTTCCATGGTAACTTAGTTGCAGTTGGTGATTCAGAGGTGCCATAAATATTGCTTTATACTTAGTCTTGAATTACTGCTTTGTCTTCATAAAAAAGCTTGCACTGATTCCAAAAGCTGAAAGGGTGGTCTCTCGCTATTTTTCACCTGAGGATATTCAATCAATAGACATTTTTAACGTGGATTTGGCCAACAATCCTCGCCCGATAATTAATGCGGAACCTGAATGCTCTTACTCTGATTATATCTGAATTAATCTGGTGATTATTTGCCATTTTGAGATAAGTGGTCGGTAATTAACTCAGGGAGAAAAAAACATTAACTCGGGCAGCAAATGTCCACTCAGGATTTACTGCGGCACACAGCACGTCCAAACCTCCTTTAACTTTCCATTCAGGATATTTACAGAACATGAAGGCATGAATTCAAGTAATATTCTCTTTTAAATAAGGGAAAATGTATCTAAGTTAGGTCAGATACCATCAAAATCAACGTGTGTTTACATGCAAACATTTGTTAGTGTGGTGAGGAGTGATACATTAAAGAGTCAATGCAAAGAGGATATCAGGGCATTATTGTGCAGTGACCTATAAAACACAATAAAGACAACCATGTAAGTTTACCACTACTGTGAGATACTGATCACTGAATATCTGCGCAATTTAGAATAGTGTGAAAAAGCAAATGGGAGAAATATCGAATAAAACTTTTGTGACCTATTTTAATTTCCAGACATCTGCATTTAACAAGCATTTTCTTTCAAAACATTTCACGATCAACTCCTAAAATAGACTCAGGCTTCAAAAGGACCTTTCTTTTAGGACTTTTCAAACCGCTCGCTGTTCACAGCTAATGCATAAGTTTCACACTTGTCAAGTTACATTCTTTTCAAATTACCGGGACTTTCTTCTTCTGATGCGTTAAATACGTCCAAAAAGCTTGGGTCACGAAAAGGCTAAGTCTGACATTACACAAACATTTCCAGCTTTTCTTAGTATCAGAGTCTCATAAGACATTTCTTTATTTGTTTTTAATGAAGGCGGAAAACAGGTTATCCCGTTTGGTGACTTTTTAATGGTAAAACTAATATGTTTATGCCTATGTCAGTTAAAATAATAGTTCATTTGAATCATTTTTAAGCCTTTTAAAGAGACAGTTCATGGAACACCCAAAAAGGCTATTTGAAATTAAACAATAAAATAATATGGACAAAATGTTCGTTGACTTATAAGTGTATTCAATCATTGACTGAATATCATCAGATAGCTGGTGATGAAATAAAGGTTTTATGATTTTTTTTCTGTCCCTCGCGTTGTTTGTTGGCAACCCCACCCTCAGTCTGTATAATACCTTCTAAAATTCCTTCTATAATTCCTTCAGTGTCACGAATGGCCACCAACCCTCACATCCAACCACCTACCTGACGCTCAATATATGGAAAGTGGAGGTCAATGATGGTATGTTTTCATCCAAACAGCTGGGAAATTACGTGTCTTCGGCAGTCATTTATCACATGTGGAGCTATGATGGAAATTTATAGAGAGATGTGAACTGAGACAGTCGGAGGGAGGGAGAGGGGATGAAATGCTAATTTCTGCCGTTTGTCCCACACAGCTGCTCTAACTGTTTGACATGTGTGATGAATGGTGTTGCCTTGGTTCTGCTGCCCTCTCACCTCCACTCATCGTCACCAGTCCGGAGACAAAAGGGAGAAGAAATGCAGGAAGAAAAAAAAAAACATCCTGCCTCACAAGCAGTGGATGCTTCCTTTCATCAACAGACACACCGATATCTGTGAGCACACACACACACCACGGCTCCCCTTCTCCCCGTGCAAACACAACCAAGCGCACACATTCAAATGCAAACTCACTCCTGTTGCCACACTCCGATAAGTAGCATCCATACTGCAGTCTGTATTTGCTGAGCCAAGCTGGTTTCTTTACTCCTGGCTAGCCGGTTTCAGCTCTGCAGACCATTACCACCAACATCTGATGCAATAATTACACAGCCATGTGAAAATAAAGCCGGTGGGATGGGCATGCCATCACAAAATGCACCTTTGCTACTCATCCAGGAGGAGAAGAACGAGGACGAGGTTGCACACACGCACAGGTAAACAGTTGGAGATAAAAGATGGGGATCGGAGAAGGAAAGTTGCTTTGTTGGCAAGAAGCGGAGCAGTCATTACCCCCCACATCCTGCAGGCACATGCAGGGAAAAGGTGTGAAACAGCATCAGCTCGCTCCCCGTCTGCACTGATGGGTTTGTTTAAAAGGGTCAGGATAGATCAGTGAACCTTTTCCATAAATATGAATGCAAAACGCATCCAACCGTTCCCCCAAAAATTACATGAAAATGAGATCCTCATATTGAATTATATGACTTCGTGGGGGGGAGGTTCTACATGTGTGTGATTCATCTTTGACAGAATTCAACAGTGGATTTTCAAGGTAGTTTTAAATGAACAGATGAAATGATAAATAAATATATTTTCAGATGGAGGGGCAGGGACAAGGAATTCAGTTCAATTGAGAGTGAGATAACAGGTGAAAAATGGCTAAAAACACTCAACAACGGATGAGTAGCTCATGCCTCTCCATGAATTTAGGTGAGCATTTCCTCAGAAATAATGTTAAAAGATCATATACAAATATACATGATGCATGGGCACAAAAATAACGTTCTAAAACATTAAACTGCCAAACAACTGCTAAATCTGACCTTGATTTTGAAACACTTGACATACCTATCTACCTTGTAAATTGATAAGACATCTCATGACAAACAATCAACATATTAGTAACAGGTTTGCTCTGAAAGAGATTATCTTATAATGCTGCTCAAAAGATTAATTCCTCATTTCTTCTTGCAGTGTAATGCATGTCAGTTCGTTTGCTCACTGATACCAGGGATTATGGAATATGTTTTGGCATGTTGTTGATGATGTGAGTCTGTGATTTCTCTGGTGCTGCATCAAAGGTTCAGTAACTTGTTCATTTTTCCTTAATGCCTTCAAAAGAACGGTCAGGTGCGAAATGCCTGTCTGCGGTTCAGCATAACAAATAGGGATGCATTCACAAATCAGAGAGAGTGGGTTCAAATAGCTCAATAGTTTAACGGATAATAGACCATTAGTTAATCACAATTATATCTGAGCCCTCTCAAAAGATTTCTTTAAAAGACAATTCTGTGGGAGAAATTGGTTCAAGATCAAAGCAAACAGCAACACTGAAAATACTCATTACTGGATTCACACATGCAGATTCAAACTTTAACATGCAAAAATAAGAAGGGAATACATTGAAACTAATTCTTCCCCAATACCAGTTGGGGCATATCAGTGTGGAACACAATAATAGCACAGCCTGAATATTTACCAAGGTCCAGTTTACAGTGAAATTAACATTAATGAATCAACTTTGCATGCCTTAGTTTTTGTAATTTGTAGACACTTTGCCAGAAGCTTTATAAACAATCCCATTATAGAAAGTACTCTAAACAATCTGGTTTTTCTTCCTATCTTCTGCCCATCTTAGGGGGTGGACTTACATGTAAGGAAATTTTTCAGGACATCAATAGATTTCGGTTTATTCACTGGACTCATTCCATGGATTAGTCAGTTTTGTACGTTTGTGCTGTAGCTCCCTTAAAGAAGAAACTTTTTCAGCTTGTTTATATTTCTATCTTCATTCTGAGAAGCAGCTCCCAGTCCTGGTTGTCTTATTTTGCACCAGTTCTATCAAAAGTTATTTGATTTTAGCTTGAGGTTGGGGAGTTGGAAAGCGAGCTGTTTGACTCGATGATTTAGGAGATTTGTCTTTGTGTTTGAAGCAGCTCCTGTAGAAGGATAGAGGTGGGAATTGGTGCAACATAAAACGCACAGCTGAGTCAGGAACTCTTTCAAACACACAAAGTGGGATGGATGTATCAAGAGTGTACTTTGTATGAACATTCATGGTTAAAAAAGACAAATGCTGCAGAGTCAGATGCTTTCAACATAAATTGAACGCTGTACTGGCTGTGTATCTCATGTCACACTCCATGTTAAATGAAAACTCATTTCCCAGCACTTCAGGCTTTCTGCGAAACACAAATAATTTAAATAATTAGCATTTTTCAAAAATATTTTATTTGATATTGATCCAGGTACAAGGGAAAAAGAACATGGGTTTATCTTACAGGACATGGGAATGAGACTGTAAATTGTCATTTTGTTGATCCACTCTCCTCTTGGACAAGGACATGCAAGTGAATACAGTAGGTGGTGTACAGAGAAAATAAAGAGAATGAACTGAATTGAAGAGATGGCATTTATTCTTCACCTCGTACTATACAGAAAAGACTTCACCCGACAACTTTCTGTTTTTGTTACTTTTAATCCTCTTTTATAGCAAAAGGGCAATACACAGATAGGCTACAAAGAACTAACAATATTGAGAAAATGAACAAAAGAGGGAAAGCACTTTCATCCTTCCAAAAAAACATTTTCTCTATTGTCTTGACAAGCAGATTGTGAGTGTTTTTACTCCTCGTGTTGAAAAGTTTTTCTTTAGTTTTTGATATGAGAAGAGCAGTGCGGTGAACATGCAAGACGAAGAGTGACTCAGGGGATAACTGATCTGGCACTACACTCGTGTGCCAGTCATCTCCTTATGGCCTCGCTGCTCGGGTCTGACACCAAACTTTACAAGGAAACAAAAAAAACACATTTTATATCTCACGAATCCTTATGCATATTTCACAATATACCTTTATTATCATTTTAATAAATACAAAACGACACTGTGATTTGAAAGAAAAAAAATGAGTATTAAAGAGACACTAAAACGCATTAGACATTAGAAATATCAATCTTAATTTGGTATGTTCTTTTACTGACATCTTGACTTAAGGTGGATGAATCAGCACATTATATTCAGAATCAGAATTCACAGCAGAAAAAGAAAGAAGAGACGACAGAATCCAACATAAGAGGGACGTTTTCCTCAATGAAAATGGAATGGCGAAATCAAGTGGAGATGCATATGGATATATACACATATATACACATACATAAACACCACCAGAATGTAAAATAACCTGAGATACTCTCTGCACCTCATTTCCAGAACACTGGCCACTGGGTGGATGGTAAAAAAGAAAAAAGAAAAAAAAAAGGCAATGGCATGACAACAACAGTACGACAGCATCAGATGGCCTTTAGTTTCCCACCTCTCTTTATCAACATTAGCAGTACAAAAAAAAAAAAAAAAAAAAAAAAAAAAAAAAAAAAAACAAACAGTCATAGAACCACAAAAATTCTGAACATTACAATTGAAAACATTGTTGTAAGCAGCGTTTTGGAGTCCATAAAAGGCATACAAAGAAACAAGCTTCTTTCCAAAAAGGACAAACAATAGAAACCTTGTTGGGAAAGACAAAAAATTTGAAATCAGAGTCAAACGTGGCAGATGATGAGAGTGTTTTGTGGCAGTCAGGCAGATAGGAAGTGTTCTGCTCCACACTGTGGCTGTAGACATGGAGGCAGTAGAACCCACTAGCTAATATACAAGGCCGTCTCTGTCATCTTTCCCACCCATAGCTATGCCATGGAGCAACAATTCTCCACGTTTCTGACACAAGACTGTGGTAATCTTATTTTAATAGGTGAGGCACCAACCATTATACCAAGACCTGCTTTTATAGATCATATCATTTAACAGCACTGAGCTGGACCCAGCAGGATAACGTGTTGTTTTGCATAAACCTGTTCCACAGATAAAGTAACAAAACATATATTTATAAGTGCTCTAAAAAGCAAAAAGTATTGAAAACGTTTTGGAACTAAATAACATATAAAAACATTAAAGATGTAAACAATTTATGCAGCTCCACTGCTGTTTTAGTGGGTTCAGAAGTATCATTATTACTAATCATGAAAAATACTCCTTGGTTTGTGTATGTGTTTTTATGTATTAAGGCCTTGGAAGGATCATAAATCTGCCTCTAAATGCTCTGAATGTTCTTCTACATGCAGAAAGATTTGAAATGTGTTGCTTTGAATGATGCTCCGCTGAATTAGGAACGCAAACTCAGATTTGTAAAGTTATTTAGACATTAAAACTAAATGAAAAAAAAAACAAAAAAATTAGCTACTATGAGACCATTGTGTAAAATAAGGAAAACATGCTCCTTCCACAGTGCCTGGAGTTTTTACTAGGACTGTAAGTTAGGACTTAAATAATTATCTCAGTCATCTACAGTAACACAGAATCTTTGCTGGCCTCATATCTGCCCTCACACCCTCTGGAACCATGTGTGCCTGCCACGCAAATTTGTCCCCACTGTGGAAATGGGCACCTTTATTGTTGCTGTATGTGTACAAAGCGTTACTCTTTAATATCTCTCTGTACATTAGTATATAATTTTCTCTTTACTTTACAGTACAGAAACTCCTCTTCACATATTCTTCCGGTTCTTCATGTCAGCAGGAGCTATGTTTTTGTGCTTATCACCAAAAGTTGCAGTGCAAAACAATAATTAATAATAATAATAATAATGATAATAATAATAATTAATGGTAACTTTCAACAATAATGGATTATAAAACAATTACTTTATGGCGCAAAAGCCACTCAATTCACATATAATACAAATTACCAGATAAAACCTAACGGTTCCTGTATGTGTAAATCAAAGCTCAAACTCAATTAGGTTTGCATAGCAATGCAAGTCAAAGAAAATATTTACAGGAAATAAAATTCCCTTTTTCCCAAGGGTTGTTATCGTCATATGGATGTTTTTTTTTTTCTTATCTTTTTCTTTACCTTGCATTTTTCTAACAAAAAGAAAAATTACAGTAAGGTAGGAGGTGGAAAATATTTTTTTTAAGGACAAAAACGTTGTGAGATGTACGGTATGTCTGTGTCTTTACATCACATTTACAGTTCTGTGACACGGCTGTCCTCTGTGGCTCTCTTTGCTGTGCACCTGCCCTCTGAGAACAAACGGGTAAGGACAAAGTTCATCACCCAAAACGGAGGTTCAGACTCCAGGTCACAACCCAGGCAGATCACTCTGGAAGAAAGGAAGTGAGACTTGATGATAAATGTATATAGCCCAGTTCATATTGCATTTATTGTACACATGTATGGTTTTAGAGCTAAAGTCATTACTGATCAGAACAGGGAATGCATACAGAAGTACTGGGAGAACCTGAAACTGTATGTCTTATGGATGATCTAAAAGGATTATCTAATTAGCACAAACTATTGACAGTAAATCACTTACATAAGTCTCCCGTGTACTGTCCTTGTCCATTGGTCCCCAGGAATTCGGCATGCTCTGTCGCGGTCCACTGCTGTGGCTGCCGTGGACCTTCAGTCTTACGTGGGCCGGTCGAGCCTTTTGAGGAGGCTGTGCCTGAGGAACTGTGGCCTCCAGGGGATGGGAATGATGGTTTACTGTATGGCAGGCAGCCATCCTCTGAGGAAATGCACAAACGATAAGTTAACATTATTGCAGTGAGACACATCCAACATCTGATGCGTGGAAACAAAGAAAGGTTCTCCTCCTGACATCTGGAGGGTGTTTGTGCCAAAAAAAAAACCCAATGCAAGGCCATGGCACAAACATCTCTGGGCCTCACACATGGCCTTCCAGCTTCCAAGCTTATTGGGGGGTAAATTCAACAATAGACAGATCACTGGCTCATGTGGAACCCCCTGCCACTGGCCAGCATAACACTGACCCCTCAGCAGTCACCATCATGGAGTGAAAACCTCATCAAACTGCCCCCCACCGCTCTGCTAATGACCGTAATGGAGCCCGCCCTGACCTCAGTGGAGTTTGCAGCGCATCGGTCAGTCCTGTGACACATGAAATGATTCACACACAAGGATTTTTTGTAAAAGGTGCTGACTGTGGAACCTATCTTTGTTTCAGGGCCTCGGTGTAACAGTTTGAGGAAGTCCTGGCACAAAGCGGCCGGGGAGCTTTGGATTAAGAGTACTAATCGTGGCAGACACACACTAACACACACTAACACACACACACACACGCACAGACACAGATGGGGTGCAGAATAGCTGCTGTTTGTGTGAAAAAAAAAAAGCCAGAGCCATTAGAGTGCATCTCGGTGGCTGCGGCCTCCTGCCTCACTTGGAGCAGAGCAGGCCCATACTGGCAACAGTTACAGGGGCAATGAGGAGGCTGAGGGGGGGGCTGAGGGAGGGGGGCATTCTGGAAACCAGAGAAAGTGGCAGACGGTGCAATCTGTTCATGGGAGCCCAGTCTCAAAGCAGCATGAAAGCTCACTTCAACACAAGAACTTGGAAGAAATTACCCTGCCATCATTGCACAGCAGCAGTTACGCCCATTTTTTTTTCTTTTTCAGATAAATATTCCCATCAAGAACAAGAGTTTATCATCCGGTCTTGGATGCATTGTTCAAAATGTGTCCTTGCACTGAAGATTTAATCTCTAAGAAATTAAGAAAACGTGGTCTGTAGAGATTTTATAGGTTTATAAATAATGGATCACTGGCTTTAGTTTCACATATCTTTGTATGCAATTGTCTGTGTAAACCTAAATAGAGCTTACATGTACACAACTCATTTGTTCTCTACATTCTAGAGTTCATAACTCCAAAAACTGTGAGTGTCCAGTTTTCAGCTATCATCATGAAGCAGAATAGAATTTTTTTTTTTCATGGTGGCATCCTCATGTCGCATTTCACATGTAAACATTGCAGCTGAAAAATTTAAATGTATTTTGTGTAATGTTTTTTCTCCAGCTTTGAGACAGCAGCTGCTGCTCACGCGTACCCGTTTTGTGTCCCCTGCGTCCGTCGTCGGCTCGGTCCATGGAGCCCAGCCGGTCTTGAGCTTGGCGGTGATGTTCTAAGGAAGTTCGCATGTGTCTGTCAATGGAGCTCTTCATGTCGTCCGACCCGCACAGGGGCCCAGACAGAGGGGTGCGCTCCAGGGACGAAGCCTTCCTATCTGCAGGTGGTGCCATGCTGCTCACACTGCGGGCCCCCTGGATACGGCCCCCACCCTGACTGGGAGGAGGCTCAGGGGGAGGAGGTAGGTCTGTGTAAAGGAAAACCCACCATAAATCACGATGACTTAAGTATAATGTTGTGAAAGTGATGACCAATGTTATATTGGTTACTAGTGTAGCTCTTTATATCTACAACTTCTTTATTTAGAATATGTTTATTACCGTCTGCACCAGCATCTCTCCGGTGGGGGGTTGTGCCCTGACTTCGGGGTTTGCGAGTGGGCCTGGCGGCCCTCTGGTGGCCCAGGCTGTGCGTGCCGACTGTGCTGCCATCTGTTGAAAACGGGCTGCTGGGCCGTGGCCTGTGGGACAAGCCTTTACCTGCAGCGTACGAGAACACAAGCCGGCTGGTTAATAAAGACATTAAGAAGCCGAGACCCAGAAAGAGAAAGCTGAGGTTGCCATCAGGTAAGCGGCAATTTATCAGGGAAATTCTGCAAACCTTTGAGAAAACAAAGACTTTCATTAGAAGAGAAAGAACCATGACAGAGATCTGTAAGACCTTTCATGTAATATAAATTGCCCCAGTATTACACATTTAACCCATGAAAGCCAAAGTGGAGAGGCAGATGAGTGACAGGCGAGCTGATTAAAGGTTTGAGAAGATACCCATAAAGTAGCGATACAGTTGCTATTTTGCACAACCTGTATGCAGCATCCACAAGCAGCAGACAGAGCAAGGCAAAAATAGCACGGAAACATCAGCTAGTGGATGGCAGGGGGAATAATTAGAGCAGAGAGGAACAAATTTGTCCGCTGTTGGTCGACACATTTCAGCCCAGCGGCCGGTGTCCGGTGTCCACAAACCAACCTCTCTTGCTGAGGCTAGTGCCCTCTATGTGGTAGCCTGCCTTGTCTGCGGCAGCCACCAGTGCCTGGGCGAAGCTGCAGTGGGTAAAGATGGAGCCGTCGGAGGAGCTGCCCAGGCTGGACCTATGGCTGGAGAAATTACGGTCATCCTCCGAGGCTGAGCCCCACCCATTGACCATGGATCCTAAGGAACACCACAGGTTTCAGCAAAAGTGCGCGTGTGAATGCGTTTCATGGTCCTATGGATTACTTTTTCCAGTCACTGCCGAGTGGCCGTAACCGTAACAGATATATCATCAAACTAAACACCTGTGCTGGGACTCTACATACAGAAATGAATATACTGAGTGATTTTTTTATTCTTTAAAGCAGGAGATTCTATTAACATCCTGAACTTAAATGACTTTGTTTTGGCTGCAGGGCATTTATGTTCTTGAAGGAAGATTCTGTTGTGTAGTTATTCTGTTCCGACCTGCCCTCTTTCATCTGCTACAAAAAAAAAGTCAGTGGAACACACACTCCCATACATACTCACAAAAACCGAGACACCTACACAAAATCCCACAAGAGTGTACACAGAGGGCTGTCATCAACTGATTCTGCGCTTCTTTTGATAAAGAACAATGACTGCACCTGCGCAGAGCTACAAAACTGCCTCAGGTGACATCTCAGCGAACTGAGAATTGAATGAAACACCTGGTGGTATGCACAGAATCCTTCCTCTTCCTTAAAAAAGTACATCAACTTAAAATTTGCAAAATCAAACAAAGAAACAGTCATACTATCAATATGGTTATGTGACTTTTCTCTGCTGCCATTGTTTTAAATATATGTCTTACTCTAAAGATTTACAGGTGATTAAGAGGTCAATTTAAACAACGTCTTGCTCTAGATTCTGTGAGTACTAAAACTTAATTGAGTATCTGACAAAGTTAACAGCACACGCGGGGAAATTCCAAAATCCTATTTGACTTACGCCTCTTGGCTTGTGTGCAGCTGTACTTCGGTGTGCTTTGATTTTCCTACACATAAAAAGCCGGGCCAGCACTTTAAATATGAAAGTATCAGTCTGCCAATAAAAATATGTCACTTTGGCGGGCGAAAGCCCAGACAACAGTCGGCTAATGTGACAGCTTTCGGTGGGACCGGCTTGGCTGATCTTGCTTAAGTGGCATGAACCCAAGAGCTCAGCTCACAGACTCCAGCTCCCCCTCACACAGGGATTGCGAGATTGTGATTGAACAGACCGGTGTAACTAGGGAGAGGAGATGTGTTAAGGTAAAGGCAGCTGGAACGCCAAAAAGGACAAAACTCAGCAAAATAATACAGAAAGTGACCGGAGTTTTCAGCTTTATTCAAATAAAGACAACTTGTAAAAACTATATTAAGGATTGTCTCTCCAGTGGTACTTCTCTGTAACAAGGAAATGTAGCATTTAAAAATGAGATGGATAAAAAAAATTAAAAATAAATAAAAAATGAGACGGACAGTTAACCATGGTACATGTATGAGTAAATATATACCCTTCTCAGAGGTTTCCAAGTTCCTCATATGTGAGTCTCTCTTCGTCTCAAAGGGAAGACTAACAAGTAAGAAGATATGACTTCAGCATATTGCACATTCAGTAGCACAAGTTGCAACAGCTTTCTGCTCATATTTTAGGGAAACTCTCAGCTTAACGAAAATAACTTATATAAACTACAAGCTTGCATAAGTTTGTGTACCTACTCACACAACCCGCTGTTACAGCTCAAGCTGAAATCCAAAGCAGTAGCTGACTTTGAACCCTCTATCTTTCCTCAATTTTTTTTTCTTCTATGAAATTCAGTTTTTCTCTGAAGAGCCGAAAGACAGCAATTCCACTGGGTCCAATCCTCCCACAAAGAATGGAGCAGATAATGAAGTAAAGGCAGTGCCAGCCAAAGCAGCAAAGCTTCCAAGTCCTAAGGCTAAGCGAGGGAACACTGCCTCAGCAAATCACATCACAGAATGACTTTCCAGCTGCACTAACTGCCACTTTCTACGGCCCAACCTCTTGAGCACTTCTATTCTCTGAAACATTGTCCCAATCAAACTGTGATCATTCTAATATCATTTGATAAAAATTCAATCTGGTTTTCCATTTTCCCTTGAAATGTTCTTTTGTCAGGCTCCGCACCAAAGTTCGAATTACAAGTCTGACATTCTATCATGTCTTGGACCTGAGCAATGGGCCAAACCATGTTCTCTAAAAGAAAAATAGAATAAAACAAAATACTAAACAGAAGTGCCAGCGCCTCCAATGTTCTGTGCAGGACCGGTAAACATTATGTGTTTGGGGGGTAGTTAAACTTAGACTGGATCCCTTATGCCACTAAAACTGATTTACAATGACAGATATCGTGATCTGCATGTTGTTAAGTGGAAAAATCATTCCCCTGGACGAGCGGGCGTCCCCTACCTGCTGTCAGGAGATGTGACCGTGCTCCTCACAAACCTGCCAAATCTTTACAGGAAAGTAATTGCTCCCACCAGCTTCAACCCTTTACCAACTCTGCTTTTGCGTGACCTATACAAAGTCAAGTAATTCCAAATAATTCCAAGTAATTCCTTCTTCTTTTTTTGCTCCAGAAGAAAATGGCTCTGAAATATACCCACCCCAACCTGAGGACTTACATTGATCGGCTAAAAATATGTCGTATTAGCCCTGAGAATAGAATAACACATTGCAAAGTCTGTGCAGGCAATCTGCTGGTGAAAAAACGCTCCCCGAAGAGAAGGTAGTTTTTTTTTTTTTTTTTTTCATTTGTCCCTGAGGCGTCAGTGAGGGTATTTGATTTATAAGTCTTAGGTGCAACATTATGAAAACAGACCTATTTCCATGTTATTAAAACAATGACAAATCCATCAAACAACACTTGACAGCACTCCCGTTCTTTCCCACCCCTATTCCTACGGCCTCAAACTGGTGGCCACAATAAATCTTAGCAGTTTCTCCTATCTTCCGTCTCTCCCCGCTGCTAACCCCGGAGTCGGGACTGTGTCTGTGCTGTCAGATGATGGGGTGAGAAGCAGACTAGCAGGGGGAGATAAAAAGAAATAGTGCTGTCTTCATGGTAATACAGTGGAGGGGAGATGCTGTAGATTAGGGGCCCTGTTGCTGCTTTATATTCCTCTAAATGCATCCGTAGGAGCAAGTGTCAGTCGTAGCAAAACCACTGCTCCATCATCTGGTGGAAAACCAGTGTTTAGGGCTGCCAGGGGCAGGACAGGCCAAACAGAAGTGTTATCGGACCCTTTTTTCTTCTTCCTGTTTCTCTCAACCTATAAATGCAATGCTAAGGATTTGCTTTATGCAGAGGTTTGCCGGTTAACTATCGAGATGTAGTTTCTCGGAGGAACAATATAACAGAATCTAACCAAAACCTTATCCTTACAATGGTACAGATTTGATATAGAGGACACAACACGGTCATCTGGTCCGGTCTGAGCAGGGGCAGAGGAGTAAAACCCAGCTCTGCCACCGCAATGTCACGTCCTTTATGCGTCCCTCCGACAGACGGCCGTAAAAGTTTCAGAGAGTTGTAAAATGGAAATGGTGCCTCTGGTCTGGAATGGAATATGCTGCACGTGAAATTTATTTCAAATCTCCTTGGGAAGATATGGGTGGCTCTGAGTCAGGGGCCGTGTGCCAGTTAAATCACAGCCGTTCTCTGCCTCTCCCTCTCCTTAATTTCCTTCTCACTTTCCTGTTTGAAATTCATGGACTTTCTTATCTCCTTTTTGGAAATGATAATTATAATTCCTCAGAGTCTGCCAAAAGTGTTTAAAATATCTTGACTGAGTGACACTCTGTAAGCAAATTCATATAAAAAAGTGATCACATAAAAAACATGACAACGTTCTGTGCTCCAATCAAATCACTGTAAAAAAAAAAGAATTAATAAATAAATCAAAAAAGGACTATTTTATTGTTATTTACTGAACCGAATCAGCTCACCTGTTAAAGAGCTGTCCAGGTTGTCCATGCTAGACCCCGGTGTGTGCTCTATACCGCGGGGATGCCTGGCTCCGTAGCCCTCGTCTTCCTCCTCGTCTTCCTCCTCTTCATCATCATCAGGCAGGTCAGTCTCCAGGTCAGAAACCATTGTGCTCGACACGTAGCCCACTGGAGGAGCCGGAGCCTGGGGAGGAAGGGAGCCTACCTGCATGTGCCTGGACGAATAAAACAAAAAAAAGAACAGTATTGGAAAGTGAATTGAGGGGATGAATCATGAGGAGAATAATGAATTATCCAGAGCTTTCTTTGACACAGAATGGAGAAACAACAAAGATATATGTGAAAATACAAAAAAAAAAAGATCTTTCAGACGTCTGTATCCTGCATGGTTGAATAGATTTGGACACTTTCTTTCATCCTTAAGTGCTGCTGGTGTATTAACACAATAACCCACTAATAGCTACTGTGATCGCTACAAAGGCCCGCTCCCCCCGGTTCTGTCCACACATGGCTGTCATTTCTGTGGCACTCGCGTTTGCTAGAGGAGCACAAAGTCTCGGCACAGTTTGCAGGAGGAATCGGTCGTAATTACTGGCCCTCTGGTGTTGTCAGAGATGCTCTCTAACCAACGTAGTCATTACTGGCTAACATGACATCTCCTTCCTGACAAGGCCTCCCTCCGTACACCCCCACTACACCACGGTGAATGAGTGGATTTCATTCTCTCTGCGCCGCTGACAGAATGAAGCATGGCCTTCATCTGACTTGCATGAGCACAACAACAATGGAATGTTCAAATGCAAGCGTGTAAACTACTCCGGGTAAGAAAATGTCTCTCATATATAGAGAGTAAAAACTGTAGTTGCCTAAGTGGTGGCATGTACCCATAAAAAGCCGTGATGAATGGGTTAATCTGTGTTTTGGGGACCAAAAACAAATCATTGAAAGCAATAAAAAGTGTGACGGTTCATTCTATATAGTTAGAATTTTAGCTTTTTATCAATTGAAAATGCATCTTTAACAGATTAATATAGGTTACCATGTTTGTTTAGCCATGTCCAGTTGGTATGCTCTGGTCAGCTCGTCTAAATGTGCCTGCAGCATGGGCTGCATCTCGTCCCGTGGGGAGGGTGTGAGGGTGGCTGTGGACTGCTGCCCGAAGGACATAGCGGCCGGGGAGGAGGCCACCCCTCGGATGGGCGGGGTGGGAACCCTTTCCTCCTCTTCCTCCAGCTCATCTTCCATGCCCTGGTGAAGGTATGTCTGAACAGGCATGGGTGGACCCCAACTGTCACTCTCATACCTGAAATAAAAGGGAAAGTTTACTATACAAACCTTAGATATAAAAGGTAAAATCATATCAATTTTTGGTCTAACCTTTTAACACAACTAGCAAAAGTTTCTATTTCTGATTACAATTAGATATGTCCAGATACAAAATAACTTTCTAAGAGTTTGGATGTTATGCATGAGAAATAGGAAGCAAGAGCTAATAGCTAATGGTATAAAAATATGATTACTGAAAGGGAACATCCTCTTTATCAGCTTTGTGACCTTGTCAACCTTCCATGAAAATTTGGGATATGACAGACCTGAACAAAATGACAGTGGATGTCAGGCTCCACTTCCTCACAGCTGTGCTTATACATGCTGAAATAATGCCAGCCATAAAGCAAATGTTCATTTAAAAAAATTGTCGGCGCACACTCAATGGAACAGAACCGTTTTAATCGGCTGCTATTAAGAGTAGTCTCCGAATTACAGTGCCAGGGTTTCTTCATTTGCCTGATAGTCAATCAAAACAAATGACTGAGAAATGAGATTGAGAAGAAACAGCTCCATCTGAAGAGCGATAGACTCAAAATGACTCATTTCATAATTCAAGGACAGTCTGTTTGACCTTTAGTTAAAAAGAATGAACTGAATATCTCTTTTATATCTTTCATGAGGAGGAAGCAATATCTAGCAATGTTTCCACAGCAGACATGGTACCATGTTGGCAAAAACAAAACTAATCAGCATCTGTTTATACAGACATAGACTGAATTATCTTGATGAAAAAATAAACGATATACTCCATCAGTTCTGCTTCATAATTTGTGTCCAACAACAACTAAACACAAACAGGGAGAAAAAAGGTTCTGATGGAAATCCGGAAAGAGCAAAAATCAAAAACCCATAAATACGTGTCCTATCCTGGACCACCCTGAAAAATATTTTTGATTAAATGCATTTGTTCCTTTAGGATTTATACAGATCTGTTCTTTTTTTCATCACTAGTGTACACACCCTCCTCCATCATGGTGATCGTTGGGATAAAGGTCCATCTCAGTGCCAGGCAGAGGGTGGACTGGAGGGGGGGGCAGGGGGACATTAGCCCAGCTGGACCCGTTGACTTTGGTGGACTTCGCGCCAGCCTTGGTCTTCTTCTTTTTTCCTCCCTTTCCACCTACAAAAGGATATCATTCATTTAAGGAACACGGTCACTGAAAATCAGATTGCATGAGGGAAATCAATTAAAATCTAATGCACTAGTAGGATGGCATTGCCAATTACAGTAGCTGCTTTTTTCCATGTGACAAATGTGTACTCTAAAGAAACTCAATTTGGCGAAAACATGCTGCTTAGATTACAAATCCATTTGCACTCGGTTTCAGCGTACCATTGGAAAGTCGTTCACGATTTCAAACATGAGATGTCAGTTGGCTCGTGCCTGTCAATGCTTACATAGAAAATCTCAAGGTTGCTTGATGAAAAGCGTGCATTTCTTGATTGATTGGCTGAAAAGCCTCAAATCTCCATAGAAACTGAAGAGAAAGGCAGTAAAATCAGCTGAGGCAGACCTTTGAGCTCCACCCATCCCTCAGTGTCCCCTTTCACAGCAGGCATTGGGTTCCACAATGAAATATCTCACTTCACAGCATCATTATAATGAATGGCTTGTGTAGTGTCAGTGTGTCCCTAATGGAATTCACTGAGAGTCTATTACTACTTTCATTTCTTTTATTACACCGGAGAGCTGCTAACCCCATCTATTTCCACTCATAACCCTCTAACACCAGATTCTCCTTTGTCACATCCATCTTCATAAATCTGCCAGCCAGGTCAATACTAAGTTTTATATGATTTGGTCACTATGGAGGAAACGTTTTTTTTCTTCTTTTTTTTTGCTTCAAAATATATCTGACTTCAATCTCAAATCTGGTTTCAAGTTCAGGTTCATACTGAATAAACATTGTTTAAAACTAAACTTTTATGAAAAAAAGGGGAACTCACAAGGTAAGATCATTCTAGAATTTTTGATGACTAAAAAAAAAGATCCTAAAGACCAATGATGATACAGCTCCATATGCTTCAAAGGGGAAGCACATTTCAACATACATAAACATTATGAAAAGATTTGATCAACTATAACTATAATAAAAAATGCTACAATGTGTATGATAGGCTTCTTTCTGCATAACACACACATATGTGTGCTTTATTAACATTGAATGTTTGCCTGGTTTACATAAGGAAGGCTGTTGTTGACAACATCAAAACTCTGCTTGGTTTATAATAATTATAAATGAAAGAAAATGTGCTCTCTGAATGTCTAGCTGGAAATTGTACTTCAGAAGTTCTAGAATTGTGCCACACTGGTGCAATGGTGTCCTTTGGCATTACAGCTTTCTGATATTTTCTGTCTTTCTGCCTATGTGGGAACAACTGATCAATTTTTCTGAAGCCCTGATCACGCTGGTGAGCTGATGGAGGGTGTCCAGGATTCAGAATAGAAACAAAATGGTGGGAATGGAATAAAAATTAAATAATGTCTTCTCTTGATCGTCTTTGAAAATGTAAGTGGCCAGGAAATTGGAATCCATGAAGAGGACACAGAGGGGAATTAAAAGCTATTTATTTCACTCAAAAATGGTAGACGGAAACCTCAGAGAGGTGTGTATTATCATTACCATCATTGAGTATTTTTTTCTCAATTATCTATACTGAAGCACTACAAATTTCAATTGATGATAAAGTGTTTCTGAAATGGACTGATCTGAATTCATTTAAATCTCGAGGTTGATTATATATGAGATGTAATTTTCCATGGTGTCCAACCTTGTTTAACAACACAAATCATTTAGCAATAGGTTTTACTGTAAGCTTATCAAATTATGCATGTTAACGAGAAGTAAGACTACACAAAGTACTGTGTAAATTTGAGGCTCGTTTAATCAAAAAAATACTTCAAGGTGATGTCACCATGCAGACTACATAGCCCTTTTTGAAATTCTCTTCTGAGCACATCTATATCTGTCATGGGTTGGGTTTGCCTTTACTGCCAAATGCCAGTGCAATGCCCAACGATTTTATCTTGTGCGATGTATCATAACGGAGTCAATAACTTTAATTTCATTAAGTCACTTGACTCAGGAAAAACCCTTAAAATATTTCCTACAAAAGCAATTAGGTTTTCTTTTCATGTTCATGAAAGTCAGATGGTAGAAAAGTAAACCGTGAATAGCTATTGAAGACCAAAATAACCTAACTGTGTTTCTCTTATAATCTTTCTCTTTTTGATAAGATTATCTAAACTTCAAGCATGGTGGAAGAAACAAAAATGCTGGAATGAATGGATAGAAGTGGTGTCAGAATGGGATTAATACAATAAGTAATAAAGTAAGTAATAAAAGTAACAACTTTAAGCCCACGGCAGGTAGCACCATAGCATAAGTACGATCTGCAAGTAATTGGGTCCCCTAATCGCGCCTGTGGGCAACGCTTGACTTTTACCAATAAATAGTGAGCTGATGTGATTGTTCAATCATCCTTAGTCCCTCCACACAAGATGAGCCATCAATATTGTAAATGAGCCTCTTCAAGGGAAGGATGTTCTGGCACTGGAATTGCAACAGCTCGGCCCAGATATGAAAAATAGATGGAGAAGTTGTGGGTTGGAGCCATACAGGAATTACACAGTGAACTCATGTCCTTTGAAAAACAGGCTTCTCTTCAAAGGGGAACGGATGCTAAACATAGGTTCAGCTTTGGGTATTTTTACCCAAGGTTTGGACGCTCCCAGCCTATAACTGTAGGGCTGCACAGCCTTGAGCGTGCTTTGTTTTCTCTGGGTGCTTAAATGCTGAGCAGCAAAACCACAGGCCAGAGATTCTGTATTATAAATGAGTTTTGAAAAAATACAAAGTTATCTTCTGACGTGGGATGCAACATACATGTGGAGCGCAGAATCACAAGGTGTCACGAACAGTCATGGGCTTCACATAACCATGTATATTGTAGCTTCATAGGCAGGCTGGATGAGAGCATAGTAGAGCAGAAAAGTCTTCAGGGTTTCCAACCGCTACAGAAAACACCAGTTACCTTTCCTCCTCTCCACTAAGAAAGGTTTTAATGAGCTGCTTCATGTCCCCAGTGGAGATCCATGCTGTCATGAAAGCTGCTCTATTTCTGTTCCTTTTCATCCTGCTCTCTTGCTTCAGACCTCACATTCATTATTCCTTCCATATCCTCAGAGGGAGAGCAGCGCACTATAACTTTCACTCCCTCCCTCTTGAAATGCTGACTTTACTTTGGTTAAAGCCGGCATCAAAGCCCAGCTTGTGCTGATTCAAATGCCCATCGCTTCTGCAAGTTACAGCGAGCAGTATATTTTCTGTTCATTAATTCTGTGAAAAACATCAAATGTAATGCCACTTTTTAAATGTATTTTTATATTGGTCCTTTTACATATGCTAAATATGTCAGGAAATACATACATTTCCCTGGAGTTTTGCCAGAAAATCTTTAATCCTACGAATAACTTGTAGTTTATGTGAGCTAATCATTGTGTGCTAATCAATGTTCTCATTTAAATGTTGGCAGGAATGTGAAAAAAAATTACATTTCACCATAATGCTAATCAAACTTTTATCCTAAATCTTCATACCAAGCATGCGTTGATGTTATAAGTAGATCTTCCTAATCCTTTAATTTTTATTCTATTAAAATATACCATGTATGGTGTCCAGTTGGAGCCTTCAATAAATGTAAAACTATAGGAAGAATCTGCCTGTGAGGCATGGCCACTTCCCACCCTTCACTTCCAGAGCATCGAATTAGAGACCAGTTAAGGCACTGGCTTGTAACTAGATAAAAGAAAAGAGTGGAAGGGAGGCAGTTAGAGGGCTTCCTCGGTGTCCTATAAATGACATTGTAATTCTCTGAACATGGGTTTTAGTGTAGTCTGCCACCATTAAGAGATGAGGGGAAAAGGGAGGTATTTTTTGCCACTTTACCCAGCCAAGCATCTCTAATGGTGTCTGTCTGTGTGTGTATAGTCCACTCTGTCTGAAAGACTCCCTCTGCCCCTGCTCCTGCCTGCTCGCTCACACACTGAGAGACAAAGCCATCACAAGGATCTGCAGCGGTGGCAGAAACCCAACCTTAGCACTTACAGCTATATTCTCCGAGTAGATCGTGCCACCATTTTTTATGCTCTGTTAGGCTCTCGATGCCTCAAGTGTTGCAACATACAGTGGAAACATGAACAAAGAACCTGACACATATAAGATTAATTTACAGCGTACACACAGAATAATCAGCTGGAAGCAAGGGGCAAGGGGGGGAGGGGGAAGGGGGGGGGGGGGTGAGTTAGCAAAGCATCTCTTGTGGGGCAGGGGGAGTGTGTTTTTTTTAAAAAGGCATTAGATGTCAAGTTTGCACATGCAAATAACAGAACAATTAAGTGATTCAGAAATCGGTGGATCGTAAAGTTTGGTTGGGGATTCTTTCTTCTCTGCTGCGTAAACCAACCTGAGAGGCTGCCGCTTCGCTCTGAGCTGTTGTGCGAGCTGGTGGTGCTGAAATCTTGTGATTGGTTGTGTGGTAATCTATTAGACAATCCTTCGGCCAATCGGTAGTCAGGAATGAAAAGGAGGGCTACAGTGGAGGTTAGAGGGGCAAAAATCACAGTGGCATCAGGTGACTGGCAGTTGGCACAAGCACATGCAGACATGCAGTTAGAGCATCAAGCAAGCGGGATAAATTTAGGATTCATCCACACAACAAACTGGACATATATTACCCACTTCATTCACGTTCTGGTATTTTGGAAACGCACAACACATTTGCTGGATGAGCCTGATATGCTGTTGATTTGAAAAAACACGCTTGTAATAGTTTACAAGGCTTTTTTTCTATACTTGGAATAGGATCAGTGAGTCAGCTGTAATGGTTTTATTTCAATATTTGCATAGATAAAATCACGGTCGAGGATATGTTTTTGAGGAGACATGCATAAATCGACCAAGTACAAAAATATAACAAATCTCTTCTAGATTGCTGGAAAATTAGATAATAAATATGCATTAGGAAAAAGTATGATGTAAGAAAAAAAAATTAATCTGCCTCAAATCCATGGAAATTGAATTGGAATCATTTCTTCACCATTAGTAAAGATAAAATCTATTTACCATTACTCTAAAACTGTCACAGGGATGGGATCACCAAAGAAACTCACAGAAAATGAATTACTTAGCTATAACACACTGAGATTTTTATCCAACCCTGAAGACCAACAAACATCAGATCAGCTGGAGGAAAATCTACTCTTTTAATATAACTCTGAAGCTTGATAAGCCTCAGATAATCTTAATGGGAAAAAAAGCAACAGGTTGCTTTGTTACAATTGTGCAACACTGTTACTGAATTTGTATATTAGACAAAGATACTTCAGAGGTTACTGTTTGATGATAATGGCTCTAAATAAAGAGTAACATAACAGTATTCTCTCAGAATGACAATGACACACTTCCAAAGTGCGACTTACTGTTGTTGCAGGAATTCTTGTCGGGAAGAGAATATCCCAGGTTGGCCATTTCCTGCTTGGCCTGAAGAGAGGCCTTCCACTGGGCCTCGGGCAGGTCCACGGCCAGCTCGTGGATGCTGCTGGAGTGCAGAATCTGAGTGGTAGCATATGGAGTGGCCTGGGATGTTTGACCTGGGCTGTTGTAGCTGGCTTTGGTGGTGAAGTCTATACTACTGTAGATGGCTCCATCAGAGAGCATTGTGCCTGTTTTATCCCCCTGTCCAGTGGGGAGATCTGGCAAAGAGGAAGGAAGAGATTCAATGAGAAATGTTCACTCTAAAATGTTTACTGCATGAGTAACGCTGTTTTAACTTAAAAGTGATTGTTAACAGTTGTCTTTACCATAAACTTGTTTTACCTAAAAAAAGGGACCAAAGTAAAAAATGAAACAACAATTTTTTTTTCATTCCCTCAACCCTATTTTCCTGAAACATGCATCACTTTCAAAAGGAACAGTGATTTCCAAAATATAGAGCCATTTCTAAGTTTCAACATTTCAAATAATGTCTAACTTCTATTAATGACTCTGTAATAGAGAAAATATTCAGTGTCATCTTTATCATCATCATCTATTAAATGTTTACAGCACATGCAAATTTGAATTACCTGGATTTTAAACACACTTTTTTTAAGAAAAAACAAACAAAACAAAAGACACCAGTGATTAATTAATTCCATCCTTTAGCCTCCCATGTGAGATGCTCCGTTCTCAAGTCACACATCCTGTTGGTGTCCCACCATCTTTCCTTCTTAGAAATAATGCCGCTGCTTTGCATGTGTGTGTGTGTGTGTGTGCTCACAGAGGGGAGGAGAGAGTGAAGGCAAAAGCGTGAACTCAGTGAAGGGGAGATGATGTAGGGCTGCAGCGGAAGTGTCCACATCTGCGCCAGTCAAGCTGCGTGTGTCCTTCACGACTGGCTGCTCAACACCATCCTTTCAGAAATCCATCCCCCCCCCCTGCACCACAGCCTGTCTCCCTCCTTGCTTTCTCATGCTTTGAGGTATTGGCTATGACACCTTGCTGGACTATATGCCATCACTCACTATGGTGACAGAACACACCCTGCTGTTAACATTCAAGCCTCCTTCTGATGCCATATATAAATCTCAACACAAATGAACTTATATTTTATGCATATATGTAAAACAAAGAGTTCTCCAGTAGAGCACAAGGGGTTCGTATTCAGTCTCTCAAAGTCTTTTCCTCAAAGCAGCTGGGACATGATCAGGGCACTCACCTGCTCGACCAAAGTTACTCAGGTCATTCGGTCCCCCAGAGCTGCTGTTGACCGGTAGGCTGCCTGCTGGCCAAGAGTCCGCTAACCAGGGATAGCCTGGGTCACTGGCGTTGAGAAGGCCCGGTCGACTGAGAAGAACCAAATGATAGAAAAACAGGTGTCAAATCTCAATAAGGCAACAATTATTTTCTGATTTTTATTCAAATGATCATTTAATTGATCTGAGGTTCATTTCAGCCATGTTATACAGTTCAGAAAAGAGATTAGAGGCACACAATTCTATGTTTTGATGCCTGAATGTTTCCTTGTGTACATTAACATCTGACACAGCTGAAAAGTATTTGAGGAGGAGACAAAATAATACACAGATACAGAGGTCTTCTCTCAGACAAACCAGGAATTCCTTCAGGCAAACACAGTCTTTTATTTCTCACTTAGTCCTGCTGTGTCTTAGTCACATTCAGTTATTTGTGCAAAAGTACACTGTTGAGATACTAATGCATGCTTCTGTTATCTGCACACATGCGCAAGAGAACATGCTGGCACCCACGAGTATATGACTCCTTATTCATTAATCTCCTGCACACTGTGCTGTTTTCCCATCAACCCCTTGGAGTGAAGTCCAGGCAGTGATAATTTTCATTTGATGAGGAGTCAGACCTCAGGCCTGGTCCTACCACAGTGCTTGTGGGATGCCTTTAAATGGGGGGTTGGTCGTTCCATTTAACAGGTGTTGTGTCCCTGTTGAGGGGGTGAGAGCCATAAAAGCAGCCATCAGGAGTTTAACCTGTCATGGGTGACTGCTGGGAGGCCATTAGGGACACTTTACTGTACAATAACGTCTGAAGTTTGGTACCTTGGGTTCCTGAGATGTGATTGAATGAGAATGAAGGATGCAATTGAATGTTTTTGTTTACGTGTTAGTGAATTAACTCCGTATTTGCAAGAAAAACTCACAGAAATGTAAACAATGTGGGTATCAGCTATAGCTCATTTATTTAAATAGAGAAAGGGTCAAATACCCCAATATGATTAGACAATAGCTCTTCCCATCAGATATTAGAAGCAAACTCTTCTACTAGTGCCTGAAATAATTCTATGGATTTCATTAGACACACACACACATTCTTTACAACATGGTCGTTTCCAACCTGGCTGCCTGATGGAGCTTATTGTCTGATCTCCAGTGGGGTGATGTGTTGGCTCTGAGGGACTGAGAAAGAGTCAAGCCCTGAGGACAAGGGCAAGTAATGGGTGTGCTGCAGTCACTCTATGTCTCAGTTACTGGTTCTAATGAGAAAAGCTGTTCCACAGAGGGAGGAGTCCAAATGAACTGCAGTCCTGGCAAGTTAAGAGCCCTCGCTGTGGTTCCTGAATGCCAAAACAGGCCCTCGGGGGAGACAAGTCATTCAAATTGATGGCCATGCATCAGACACATGCACTTTTATAGGGTAATACATCTCTCCTCTTCCTTCTACCTCTGTTTCTGTCCGCCATGTCACACCACCGCCATCATTCTCTCTCACCGTTCTATATTTTGCTAACCCCCGTTTTCCTTTATTCTTCAGCTATGCACTCCGCCTAATGTCTGTTGTGCTGAAAGCTGCAGCTGAAAAAGGAGATATTTTTCTAATTTGTTAATTCCAAAGTGACTGTGCCAGAAATGAAGAGTGTAAAAAAAACTGAAAAAAAGACTATGACTTTGTCCCATCATTGCCTCACTTGTGCTGAGTGCTCCGGCGAGTCATCGGCCAGCACAATAGAAAGAGGCTGACAGAGGAAATGACTGTGTTGTCCTTGTATCCATCACATAGCAGCACATGTGCCGGGGATAATCAAAATAAAACTAATTCCTACAGAGGCTATTTGTTACACGTCTGAATGACTGTGTGTGAGACCAACACTGGCTCATACGTGTGATGGAAAGATGACCAAAAAGTTTTTATCCCTGTCCAATCTAGGATGAATGGCAACCTTGGAAGATAAAATTTAATTTGAAATGTTCCCTCTTCCTGTTAGCAACTTGTGATGAGCAGGAAGAAAACCATAAATACTACCAAAGATGCCTGACATTGAGCGTTCTGTACATCAGTCACCGGAGAATGATTAATTCCAAACCGACTTCATAAATCAGGTGTTTATGGTCCCACAGACTCATGAATTGAGCTTGGATTAAATGTCTAGGCATTAGGTAACACTTAGCAATGGCAAACACAAATTACTTCACAGATTAACTCTCGGAGAACATGCTGTATCTTAGCATTCAGATGCGGGGATGGAAAGGAATCTCCATAGCAACAGTTTTAATAAAAACCTGCTCTGCAATGCTCAGCCCATTCTCCCTGCCAATAGGAGTGAATCTGCTTTGCTAAAACATTGATCAGTGCTGAGATAGGAAGTTATTACTACCTACTAATTACCATCTCTCTATTGGCCAGGGGATAAGGAATGAACCCTTATCAGCTTTTATCAATTTCAATTCAGCAGCCAAAGTCAAACCATCCAGGTCTACAATCTGCAGCCTATTCATCTTCCACGAATCATTTATTTTGTGATCGATTAAGCATAATTGTTCAGTCAGAGCAATTTGGCAGGAGCCAATGAAAAACTAGGAACAGACGTGGCTTCATTTACTATTGTCTAATTAATGCAATAAGCATTTCATGCAACAAATGAACATATTTTGGTTGGGAAGCTGCAACGTCTGAAACTCGACGGCACCAGAGTGACAAACAAATCAGAGGCTGTTCTTTGTGTTCAAAGTTGCGTCCTATTCACGTCTTAAGAAAATTGAGGGAGTCAATGCGACTGACAAAAGGTTTTGACAAATACAGAGCAACAAAAATAGAGACATTTCAAATTGCACTCACTGGAGTGAGAATCAGAACCACTTACGTGGAAAATTGAAGGAAAAACATGACAGCAGAAAGTAGATGAAAAACGGCACGGCAAGTGGCATGGCTAATTCATTAAGAGATTGCTGACAGCTTACAGCACAATGCTGGAAAAATTGCCCACTGTTACATCCAGCTATATGCATGGAAGAAGGAAAAAAGGCGTACAAGCGAAAAAAAAAAAAAAATCTGAAACCAGACTGCAGCATAGACCCACTCCCAAAAGCCCAGGGATACAAGGCGACCGATTTAGTTGCAATCTCTCACAGAGTGTGTGAGATCTGGTGGTTTTACCTATTCAGGTGTGATAAGCAGTAGATAGACAGAAGGATTCTCAAGGGAGTCTCTTGAATACCCACAAAGGCTCAGTAACTGGTGTCATTGAGATGTGCCCTATTCACTGTAGCCTGTCTGCTTTCACTAACACGCACTGAAATGGAGCAGACTGCATGAGGGAGGCCCCCATACATGCACACACACACACACACACACACACATACATACACACATATACACACCTCTCCCCTGGGTAATTATTTTTACATTATTACATGTGCTCAGATCCCAGCCGCCCACGCAAGGTGACAGGCAAATTTATCACTCCAGAGGGCTTCGGGGTTGCCTGTAGCCAGCAGCGGAAGATAAATGACAAAATAAAAGTACTCTCTGCTCAAATTGTTTCTGTTAATTCCGTTGAAGAGATTTATGAGTTCGTCTATCGATGCATAAATGGAGATGTGGTTGAAATGTATATTTGCACGCCCGTTTGCATGGTAAGCACCCAACAGGTATCGGTTATCTATCAACCCATCAGTCATTTATCAGCGTTATAATCAAAAGCTGCTTGCTGTGGATCTCTTGCATGCCTATGGTGGAAGGGTTGTGTAAACCCCGGGATGGAGAGAAATAGGAAGCAATGGCAAAAGCTTATATTTCCTTTTCGAAAAATGCTGCTTTTGGAGAGACACTCACCTTCCGTTGCTCATGAGACCACCATCAACTCTCTGGAACGTCACTAAAGTAAGAAAGAAAAGAAAGAAAAAGGCCAAACATTTAGTGTTTCCATTTCCATAATCTAGACACAACACACATTATGTCATTATACATCCAGTTTGGTCTTTTGCTTAAGCAGAGCCCTTGCTTTATCTTTCTTTTCTGGTTCATGGCTAATCAATTGGTGAATTCACTATGAGGTTGAAGTTTCCCTCTGCATACATTGTCTTTCAGGATTGTTTTCAGAGCAGTGGTGATGGTATATTGCTTTGATTTGCATAAGTGGAGATGTCATGTGCTTCTCAAGGACAACATGCCTGATGAGAGGGAAAACTCATTTCACTTCGCTGATTTTCCTGCTGAGTTATCATCACATTTGTGATTAAATTCCAGCCAAAAAAATTATTAGAAAAGGCAGAGGGCTCATTAATCATGTTCGGTCTCCTATCTACAGAGATAAAGGCTGAAGTACTCGTCCTTTGGGGAGAAGGGCCTGTTGCATTAAAAATACAGATGTAAAGGCCACTCGTTCAAAGGAGCTTATAGAACCTCAGTTAAATGTTGGGGATCTGTTTCATCTCCTACAGGCAGACATCCAAACATATGAGAACTTCAGTGGTTTTCAGGAAAGAAAGAAAAACAGCAAGACTTGTGGAAATCACCTCATACCAACAAGGGGAAAAAAAACCGGGAAAGAGAGCAGCTTCACTAAAGAGAAGGAAGGAAAGATGTTAGTAATTTGGCTCATTTGTTCCACAGATGGAGATTAAAGAGAGGAGGCTCAACATTCCTCGTCTTTCTTTTTTCAGTTTCATTCAAGTCGGTTCCACGACGAGCCTAGACTTGGCTGAAACACCGGGGCTTTTCTGTGGGTGACGCAGTAACTGATGAAAGCCAGCGGAAACTCCCAAAACAGTTTAAACGGCTGCTAACAGGACACTTCAATGCATCCCCAACATAATCTAAGATGACCTCATCCCAATTTTCTATAAGAGCCACTGTACATTTTATGCAATCGAGGGTTTATTTACGAAATGAAGAATTAAGCAGCTGCATTCTGGGATTAAAGTATGACCTTTCAGCGATATAAATGGAACATATCTCTTGGGGTAAAATAGGACTTTTTAGAGCTCCAGCCAGACGAGGCAGTTTTGATTCAGTCTGGAAAAGTCATGTCTCTTTATTCCCCATCCACCAAACTTGGATTTCAGAACACTCTGTTTTCTGAGTCAGGACTGACAGAAGAAGAACTCCGAGGCAAAGGGAGGCCGTGCGGGAGGAAAGCCTCTGAAGTCTCTATCTGTGATGAGGCACATTTTTTGGACTGCTGTGGGACACTTTAATGTTTTGCTGGAGTGACATGGCTGAGCTGTGCTTCTCGCCTCCGACTCCAAGATAAGCACTTCGTCCAATATGAATGCTGATTAATCCCCTTTAATAAGTATCGGTAGAGGGATGGGGGGGTGGCGGGGGTGTAATCAGCGCATAAAAATTCCATCAAATCTAATTCTTGCTGGCGGTGTGCCTCAACGGTGTTGTGATTTAGCTCTCCTGTGCTGACAGCTTTAGGAGCCTGAGACAGGACACTCAATACATCAACTAATTGTCAATACAGAGGAGAGCAGCGGTGTAAAACTCTCCAACCACATTCTGACTCATGTTCCAAATATCACATCACTTTGACTATATAGTCTGAGCTGTATTTAACCTTTAATTGTCTGTGCCAGTCAAAACTATTATGTGAAATAACTTGCTTCCTTCCTGGCTTCTTCAAGGCTTATAATGAAAAAAAGGGAAAGCTTTCACTGACATGTTGTAACAGCTAATCTTAAATGACTAGAATGAATTGGATTTTTATCTTTAGGTCATATGAGAAAGTGCGTCCAGATATATGCAAACTTTTTTTTTTTAAAAGAAAAAATGTAACACTATTTCAGATAAACCCAGGAAAACGTGGAGAGGACCCAGATCTAAATCATAAATCACAGTCTGTAATTCATTTTTATGTTGTAAGACTATATAGTACCCTATAGTGATTTAAATGTTCTCTTTAAACTCTCAATTTCCTGAATCCATTGACATTCAGATGGAGTATTTGCGCGTTCTAATGCTCCTTAAACTTTATTTGATCGTATACCCACCAGAAACCTGTTTTCACCAGAAAAATGTGTATTTGGCAAACAAGGTCAAAACTGCACGAAAGGTGAATGAAAAGGGGAAAAAAACATCCAGCCAACTAAGTGATACGTAAAGTATAGGGATACAGCTTGGATCTTAAAAGAAAACCACAGACTATGAATATTTGAGGGGAAGGAGCAAAATGGACAGTTTTTCATGAAACAAAAGGAAATTCATTCAATACAAATAGGTACTACAGACAAACAACACAATGTCTAAAAAAGGGCTATATGTCGATCAGGGAAAAGAGTCTGCGAGACCCAGGTCATGGCCAGTAACAAACTGAAACTTTAAAATAAAAAGAATTTAGTCTTCTGGTATGTAAAACCTTGTTCACCCTATGCAGGGTTTCAGTTTTTCTTATTAGCCATGACCGCTTGTTTGACAGTCCAAGCATGAGTACTAAAAGCGGGAAGTAGATGAATCTGCGTTGAGGAGGGGAGAGAAGACGGGACAAATGAACAGTACCTGCAGGGGTGAAGGTGAAGGACTGAACTGTAAAACAAGAAGACAGAGAAGTTGTGCGTTAAAAGCCTGCAGAGGTAAGCGGTGCTTTAGGGGTATCTGCACACTTGGGGGCAGGGGCAAGCTGAGAGGTTGGTGGGGGCAAAAGAAACAAATGAAACAATAACGGGACCCAGTGTACAGTACAGTGAGGAAAGCAGCCAGCTCAGAGGCAAGGGACAAATCAAAACAAACATGTAACACATTCAATGTAATGCATGGGAATGAAAAGTAAATCAACTAAGAGCTTGAAAGTAGTGGCACGACCTCTTTATGAGGTGCTGAACACAGGATGCATAACTCTGTTTCCCCTGGAATTGTGTTTATCAATAAGCATAGAAATGATATGAGGATCTTTGATTTCAGGAACATTATTTTAAGTTAATTAACATTTTTGCTTGCTTGATGGCATTGACTGGGGTCTCACAGAAAGACGCGAGGGTCAGTGTGTGGGTGGAGAAATAAAGGAGACCTTCAGTGACCAGTATCATGTTCAATCTGTCCACTCAGCTCAATCACCTTGAGCTATATCAGTCCACCAAAGGTAGATTTGTTTAAGTAGTTCAGTGCTCCGGACAGGATTCAAACTAAATTCTGTTCCCCCGACAGGCCTTAACATAGCATTTATCTCAAGATCATCATGTAACTGAAGAACGAAATGTTGGGATAAAATGAACTTGCGTTGAAACAATAAAAACAGGTTTATGTAGGAGGTCAGAAGAATTTCACCGTTTATTAAAGTATTATATCAGAGTGAATTTACGTGGATGATTAAGAGAGGGGAGTCTTACCTGCGTAGTTGCTCAGGCCCTTTCTCTTCTTTCTCCTCCAGTAGAGCCAGATGCTGAAGCCCATGAGGATGACCCAACAGGCTCCTCCGATTCCGGCAATGAACGCAGGCTGTTTCACCACGTCGGTAATCTGCTCTGTGATGCTGTTGTTCCGGTTTCCGTGTATTATCACATCCCGGAATTCCTTACCTGGGGGTGCAGCAACAAACATTGATATCTGGCTCGGCAGGCAGAGGAAAGCAGTGAGGCAGTGCATCCTTTAGTTCTTTATGATCAAACATAACAAATTCACCTTTGCAATGCTGAATAGCTTGGAGACATATACACATATGTAGGATTGTGAATACACGGAGAACATTATCAGAGAAAGATGAGGCTCAGGTCTTATGAATTTCTCAGATATTGACCAGCAAATCAAGGAGGTGTGCAGGGAAATATCATGTGTAAACTGACAAAAGACAAAGCCTAAAAGCTAATAGCAAAACCCAGGTGATCAGGTTGTTTGCTCTGTTCAGCACATAATTCAGTGCACTGCTGGTAAAACCCACCATGTCAGATAAGAGGAGAAAGCCCTACTCTGTATCGATCACAGTTCACTGCTACTAGCCGGTCAACCAATATTTGTTGCTCGCTGTGAAAATCTGAGAAGTCCGACTACCATTAGCATTTATGTGAGGGATATATAGATATTATTCCAAGTATGTCTTCCTGTGTTAGTCTGGTTTTGAGAGGGTTCATTTCCTATGATCTTCATTGATCTAACATATGAATGTACCTTTTAAAAGGCTGGTTGTGATTAGAATAACTTTTTGAAAGTGATTGTTAATATGCTTACTAGAAAATGACAAATGCATGTATCATGGAAATACAATCACATATGTGTTTCATCTATAATTCATATTACTTTGAAAACATGTGAACTCAATTCCTTAGCAAAAGCTATAGACAAAAAAACCAAACAAATAATAACTTGAAGCTTGCGGCTCTGCTTTCAGAGATGGATTATGTGAGTGACACAGGGGAAATAAGAACATGCTGCAGGCCAAGTCATCAGTTATGGGTCAAATGAGGCAAAAATCTGCCAGAGCTCCACATAAATCACATGCAGTCATGTCACGTTCAAAATTTCAAAATAACAATGTTCTAAGAATATGATCCATGTGGTAATTCCTTTTGTTTTTTTCTGTGATCGGGCCAGACATCAGTCATTAAAAAGGCTGGGATTTCCTAATCGTCAATAACTCTTACCAATGATAATCGGCTGAGGCTCACTCTTCACACCGACACCTGCGCTGGTGCTGGCAGCCACTTCCACGTGATACACCACTCCCACCTGCAGCCCGCCCACCACCACAGAGCGTATGGCCGCATCCACCGTCTTATTTACGTGGAATCGGGTCTCGTTCCCAAGGCACCAGATCTGAGGCGATGGAGCAAAACAGAGATAGACTTTATTCTATTTGACTTTGCGTGGGCTCAGTGAGAGTTCAGGCTGACTTGCTCTGGCAAACCTTGTACTCTTGGATGATGCCGTTCTGGTGGTCTGGAGGAGGGGGGTCCCAGGAGATGCTAATGGAAGTGCTGTTCTGGTTTCCCACGGTCAGGACTGTTACCTGCTGAGGAGGCGCACTGGGAGCTAAAAGAGGAGATAATATATCCAGGTTAACCAAAAAAACTCATTACTTTGCACTCAGGTAGAATCTAAGAGTATTCAGTTGTGTTTTATAAGACTATCAGAACAAACTGAGTCTGCACGCAGAAGAAAACAAAACACAGTGCACATTTATGGATGTTTTTACACATTTTTTTCTAAGGAATCACACAAGTGATGGTACGGTTCACCATAAGCTGTCAAGATAAGGTCAGGGCAAATCTAAAATGGCTGCCGGCTGTCTTTAACATTTCACTATGATTTAATACATCATCCTCTGCTCGGGCTTGGTGGATTTGCACAGAGTATACTTGTATTGATTTTTTGAAATGATGGCCTTGCACAGTGAAGCCAGCGATCTGAGTCGTGCTAAGACTCCAGCATTGACCAGTGTGGCACATCGGTTTATGGGGATGAAGCGCAGGTGCAAGGGAAATATGAAAAAAAATACATTTTAGGGGGAGGAAACAAGGTCTCAGTAAACATATTGACCGACTCAATCGACCAGTCAGTTGAAACTAAAGCCAGTGGGTAAGAATTAAGGAAAGCTTTAGGGTAAACCGTGTCTAAGTGAATCCTCCAGCAGACGGGGAGAAGTTAAAAATGGGAAAAGCCCGGGCTTTCATAAACCCCTCTTGTTATTCTGATGGCAACAATCTTCTGACCCCACAAGGGGTAAGACGAAAAATAAATAAAAGTTGGCCCAACTGGAAATAACGTTTTAAAAATAATGTTTTCTCATTTCCGCAGCGGCTGGCAGGGGAGCAGCACCACAGCAGAATACTGACAGGTCAATTATTCCTGGGCTGCCTCTCCCTCACCTCACCTCCATCCAAAATGGCACGTGTCACCCTGTAAATCTGTGCTCATCCCTCAGCGCAATTGGCCGCTCCGGCCCCCAGAGAGCCAGAAGGCCCTGGCATGCGAGAAGATGAATGGTTCCAATGATGAACCCAACACCTTGGCCAGATTAGAAACAATCTACCCAGTGAACATCTGATCAGCCATCAAGCTTAGGGGGCTCTCTCCAATGCTGCATTCCATTCAGGTGATAAAGTGCTGTGTATTTGCGCATGGAAAGCGATCAGAGACAATGTCGTTCAAAGTTAATGTTATGAATGATTTAGCAGCTTATTATCATGCATATTTGTGCTAAACAATATACATTTTTCATTAGGCTCCTCGGAGGCTGTGCTAATAGGGCCATTAGCGGAGTGATGTATGGCAGGCAGGAATTTGACCCCCTGTCTTGCATGTGCACACCATGCGGTGCTGAATGATGAGGGAATACAAACACATCGAGTCATTACCAAAAAGTAGCCAGCAGATAGTGACAAGCGATGCAGGGCTTCCCCGGAGTCCAAAGTTGACGGTTAGTTCACAAAGGAACATTCATGCAAACACAACAGTTTTCCCTTCTACCTAAAGAAACACGATGCGATTCTCCTAAATGACTCCTGAGACGATCGTTCAGTGGGAAACGGATGTTAGCCAGAGTTCGTTTATCATCCATAATATTATTGTCCAGATGGAGTGTGAGATAGCATTTGAAAAAGGAGAAGGGAGACTAAAGAGATGGCCGGAGCATTAGAGCAGAGAGCATACTGTAACTCTGCAGTTGCCTGCACGCTCTCTGGGGATTCTTTAATTGTGTTAGCTAATGGACGACTGAAGTTTTAATCACCCCTTGAACAAGACTTGTCTATCCATCAAGTCACCCTCTCTCTGTACTCCCCGGTCTTGAACAGCCAGAAGCAATGTGTCTGACCTTGTATTAGTTATGACCAGACAGACCAGAGGGGTTATGACAGAAATAGGAAGAGGTTGTGATTTTCTCCAAACTTGGATGGAGAGGGGAGAGACAGGCGGGGGAATGATATCAGAAACTGGTAATAGCTGGGACTTGTAGTTTCGGAGGTCTTTGGGGAAAAAAAAAAAAAAGGTGTGTTGCGTGAATTTATTCACTTTGTGTGGGTTTGTGTGATGGTGTGTGTTTGGAAATAGCCGTAATGTGATGGCAGTTCCACTCCTGTGGCCAGACTCTGTGTGTAGTGAATTTACTTGCTGGCCGCAGGAGATACGGTCCCTCTGAGAAAAGGAAAATAAATGAGCCTGTCAACCCAACAGGATGTGAACTGTCGACAATACATGCGGGCTTGAATATGCTGGGGCCAGATAGGCTTTGTCTCCTGTATAGAAGTGTCCTTTGTCCTTTTATGCAGCTGTGGGGATGCGCCGGGTGTCTTTACCTCTGATTATAATATAATTCTATCCAAGTTACTAAACTCAAAGGATGAGCCGAGACCGGTGCACGACCGGCTTTTGGTGAATAAAGTAAATTTATCCAAATACACAACTGTGGCTGTGACTGTGTGTGACATTGTGCTACCCTGCTTCGTGGCCTTGCCGGAGCTTTTATAAATCAAGGGTGACAGATCATCTTAGCAAGTGGAAGCGTGTGCCATGTCCAATGACAGCCCGGGTTTGAGGTTGCTGAGTGATATATTAGAAAATTGTTGGAAACAATATCATCCATCGTAAAGTAAGAAAAAAAAATCAGGAAGGTCAACAAGACAATAGGAAATAAGTGGGTGTGTCCATGAATTAATAAACAATCTCTCAGATCTTGTCATCAAATGAAAGGTAGACCTGCTAATACTTTGTAAAACACACATAAAGTTTGTCAAAGGGATGATTTTGGAACTGCCATGGTGCATTTGAGTGGGCACGTTACTATTCGGCCTATTTTTTTCACTTCTTACCCTCCTCAGTAGTCCGTGCTGTCCTAGATTCACTGTCCATGCCTTGAAACTCGTTGAAATAAGGCCGGACTTTGATCTCATAAACAATTCCTTTCTTGAGTGATGAAAGGATGACACTGCGCTCAGAGGGAACCTTCACATCCTGGGTCTGCCAGAGTCCCGGTGAAGGTAGTCCTGACGTCTGCCGGTATAAAACTCTGTAACCCTGGATGAACTGGGACTGACGATCCACCTAAGAGAGCAAATGAAGACAGGGTTATTGCTGTATTTTATCGTAAAAAGAAACAAGGAGATGGCTAGAAGCTACCCTGTGACAGCCACCAGATAGTAAATATTGATGTTTCCCTGCAATGTGCTTAGCAAAATTGCATGTATGACACTTTAGAGGCTGTTACTTGTTTAATGGGGCTTTTATCACTAGACATGCCACACTTTGCTCAATTAACACCCTGACATTACATCATACTAACAGCTCCTAAACCAAAGTATGGATAAGTAAGGTGCCTTCTCCATTAAAAATAAACAACAAAAAAACAGATTTTCCATAATGCAACCTTATCGGAGAGATGCATATCCATTAGCTATAATAAATACTGAAAAGTGACACTTTGGAGGCGGGTCTTATCAGGTCTTGGATGAGCTGTGACTATGAGAATGTCATACAGCAGCAAATACACACACCCGATGGGCACTGCGGCAATTCAAAGCTGATGTGATATCAACAGCATGTCCCACATAGGCATGATAGCACCCTATAGTCCACAAAAGCCATTTACCTTAAGACTTGGGCCAATCGGTGAAACAGAAAAAGCTGAATTTATGCAAAGGGGAAGCAGGCGCATAACTCACAGTAATGGCTTGTTAACAGTAGAGGAAGTGAGGACTGCTTTCAAGTGGGATATTAAGCAGCTGTTTTTCACCAGTGTAGCCTGAGTAAATCAGCAAAATGGATTCCCTGGTCAGAGCGTGACTTTTATTAATGGAATGAATTGGGAATATAAAGGCAGCCTCTCTGTTTACTGAACCCCCCCACCCCCTCCGATTGATTAAGGAGCCATGTTTTCTGTCAACTGTACATTACAATCATAAAGCAATGGTTAAACATTAAATTAGCAACCGAGTTGTCTGGTGAGACTTACTATAGGGGTCAATAAACATGTCACCAGGAAAACCGCTAATGTGGTTCATTTAAAAAAATGCAAGCTGGCATCCTGTGCCGCTAAATGATGTTCAGTAAATAATTGCAGTAAAGTGATTTATAGTACCATAATTAAATTAAATCAGAACATACGAAGAATGAACACCTCACCTTTGACGATTATGAAAAGCCTTTTTGTTCTCATTACTATGCAATTAGACACAAAACACTGCATTCAGCAAGAGCTTATTTCATGTCTTAGAACTCAAATTAGGACAATGCTGTTTGGATGTATATGAATAAAAGAAGATAAATTACACATATCGAGGCTGTAGAGAAACTTCTGCTCACTAACACATACATTAAATTCAATCTAATTGTATCTGAGCTGACTTTACAGTTAAAGAGAAGCATTCAAAGACATGAGAAAATTGATGAACAACCAGGTGTTTCCGACGTCTCTTTTGATGCTCACTGCGGTTAAGGAAACCATTTTGCTACCATTTGATGCTTAGTTTCTTTTAAGTTACAATATTTCAAAGCTGCAGTCCTTGGGAACAACCTGACAAAAATCCCTCTCATAAAACAAATGTTCACCTCCTGAGGGAGCTTCAAAGGGGAATCTTTAATGTCAACTACCTCTGACTTTATGAGAGGAATTTTCAAACTATAAAGATGTAAAAACATGAAATTTCTTGGAGAAAAAAAAAGACTTGAAGAAGGACTTACCGTCCATGTGACCTGAATAGTTGTGGGACTCAAGACAACCGGGTTGTGCAGCCGGATAATGACATCACCGAGCTCCTTCTGCACGTGTCTGTGGTCAACACCCTGAGCTGGAGGGCTTATGTCTATGACAGAGCAAGGATGAAAAACATTAAAGAGAAAGAAAACTAAATTACAGGACATCCGTTTTTATTTGTCCCCATAGCAGGACGAATGATAAAAGAGATCTTAAATAGACGAACTGAATGGATGAAAGAAAAAGGAAAAACCTAAGTTACGTTAAAATAATCTTGTCCCATTTTCTTATAAAACTCTACTCTATTATGATGAAAAACGAAAGAGACTTTAAAATGTCTTTAAAAGTGGTACTTGTTTGCACTTACATTGAGTCTGAATTAAAAACCACATCAACTAATGCCACATCTTGGATGAATGGACACTATGACACTATTTTCCGGCTCATTTCATGTGCTCATGTGTTTTGAATTAAAAACAAAAAAATACAAATTAATGAGATATTGCGTGACATGGGCGAGAGCCACATTTTGAGTTATTCATGGAAAGAAATAGAAAAAAAACTAAAAGGAGGACTAGATAATCGGGACAACCAAATTCAGTCATGAATCAGAGCCTACATCAATAGGTTAACATGGGACACATTAAGTTAAGATTAAGTAAAAAAGATCAGTTTGTCATCAACACCTGGCAACATTCATTAAAACATCTAAGAGTATATCTTAAGACCGTGACCTCAGCATGGGACTTTCTGAAATTGAGATTCAACTGATACATGCAGACCATAAGCATTGTAGCTTCACGTTCATGAGGTGAAAATGTCACCTTGTGTTCTGACGGGATCAGACATGGGGCTCGGATCGCTCAGGCCCTGGTTATTGACGGCCCGGACCATAAACAGGTAGATGGTGTTGGGACGGAGGCTCTTGATGGTGAACTGCGTGGTTTTGACATGATCGGCCACCGTTTGCCAACTGTTGCTCACTGACTGACTGTAATGGAAGACAAAAGGGTGATATTACATTATCTTTCAATGCCAGTTCTCTTTGTGCACCACAATAAAGCGATGATACTTATTTTGAATATCGAATCTTACCTGAACGCTTCAATGACGAAGGAAGACACCGGAGATGCTCCTGCCATTCCAGGCTGCCAGGACAAGGAAACGCTGTTCTTGGTGACATCGGTGACTTGAGGTTTAGATGGTGGGCCTGGAAGCTCATTCTCATCATGGTTTTTCATTACTATCACTCCACTTGATTCTGAGCGGGTAGAGAGGAGAATACAGAATACAGTAAACGCGGTAATGTGAAATGCATGAGCCTATCACACCATCTTTTTTCTTTCTTCTTTTCACCTACCTTTGACGTCCAAGAAAGCACTCCATGATGTTTCACCGCTTGAGCTGGTAGCCACACATGTGTACGTTCCAGTGTCGGAAAGCTTGCACAGAAAAGAAACAAAACAGTTATGAATGAGGAAGAACAAGATAAAAGATAGCCATTTGAACACATTGAGTGACTATATATAGCCTTATCATTGCTGAAGCACTAAACAGCCATGGGGAGCCCTGCAACATGGCCGCCCTGTGCTGAACAAACAGTGTCATTTGTGAGTGCTTCAAAGTGCTGACACTAATTTCCTAATGAATTCCATTTTCTACTCACCACCCTTCCATCACTTTTCCACTCCCCCTCCTTATTTCCCCACTGTCCCGCCGACCACAACAAAGCCAGGCTAATTAATTTAGGGTGGGTTGATAGAGCCCCTGGACCGATGACAGCTGGCTTGTCTCTCCATTCCTCTTAGGAACTTTTGTTGTTTGTTGGTTTTTGTCCCTGTGCCTTCCCTCCATTTATTAAATAACATGTCAGTGGTCGGCAGCTTTGTCAAGCGTAATAGGAATTCCACTGAGGCCTCTAAGTGGGGAAAGGAAGATGTGGGCCTTTTGAATTTAATCTACTCTAAACGGGTATGTGTGTAGATGTGTTTATATATATATATAAATATATATCGGTTCGCAAATATATATTCTCTCCCACAGCTGGGGTTCAACCATCCATTCACAGCTGAGCCCAGCCGGAACTGCCATGGAGCTAAGTGATACTCGGATACAGTTTAAGAAGAAATCAATGCGGGCTATTCATCTTTCTGAGACGTCATGGTACCTTTTGCAAATGCCATGTTCATAATAATAAAAGAAAGCCAATATTTGAAAAAAAAAAAGTAGTTTGTGAATAATTCCATCTATCCATCCATTTTCGGAACCGCTTATTTCTTAATGGGGTCGCGGAGGCTATGCCAGTAATCAATGGGCAAGAGGCGTCCATCGCAGGGCCACACAGAGACACACAACCAATCACACTCGCTCCTTAGGGAAATTTGGAATGTCCAATCAAGCTAACATGCAGATTTTTTGGGGAGACGGTGGGAGGAAGCCGGAGAACCCGGAGAGAACCCACACAGACACAAGGAGAACATGCAAACTCCACACAGAATGGTCCTGGTTCCCCCGGGGACCGGAACCAGAACCCTCTGGCTGTGAGGCGATAGTGTTGACCACCACTTTGTGAATGTTTGAATACGTTAAATCAAGGCTAGCGTCAAATTTCAAATACAGATTAACACATACAAAAGGTTGGCCGTTGGTGGAATAGTGGACTTCCATAGTGTCACAAAACACAGTAATCAAATCTGTTACCTTGATATTTTTTATCTGCAGGCTGCCCAGCTCCTGCAGGGACATGCGGGAGTCCTTTCCCAGCAGACTATTCCCATCCTTCAGCCAGCTGATGGAAGGGATGGGGTCTCCCGAAGCTTGACACTTAAGAAGTGCCACGCTATCCACCCCAAGTGTCTGATTGGATGGGCCTTGGCGGATAATGGGTGGGGGTCTGTCGGTGAACACTAGGATAGAAAGAGGAATTTGTTGTGTACTCAGATGCTGGTGTTCAATCATGAACGACGCTGGGGGTGGATGTTAGTATCTATTATAAAGTGGACCATTTTCTCTGCGTGCTTGTAATTGTGCCACAGAACAATGAGCGTATCCTGCGTTTCCAGGAATCACGGAAAGACCGTCTGAGTGGTGTTCTGGAGCTTCATTGATGTGGCAGAGGGATGCCAAACAGTTTCCAGTTACTGCATGGGTAGCCTTATTTTTATACACTACCGTAGACTCTGTGGTACACTTAGGCGGTATGGCTCTTTCCTACTGACTCAATGTGGTTCAGATAAATACTTCATTATGTGCAATGTGGGGGCACAATAAAAGGTGGTTTTTAAACACTAAAAGTCACTCTAACCACTGACTTTACATCAAAATGAAGAGGGAGGAAAATCCCTTTATATTTTCTTTCAATTCCACTTTAGGTAAAAGCTAATGCTTAGATGAGTTCCATTTATATGAGAGATTTAATTTGCTATGATGTGCCAAAAAAAAGCCTGCGGGTTATTCCTATAAAATGATGGGTAAGAAAGAGGTGATCTCAGAGAGATTTAACGCCGAAGCACACAGACGGTTCATAATTTAGAGTTGAATAATGCGGAGTCCCCCTGGCATCTCAGAACCTACATTAATTAGAAAGTATGGATTAATGATGTCAGACCTGCAGGGGCTAATTACCTAGTCTACCTCAGTAACCTTTCAACACATTAACGCACCCCTGCCTCCAACCCGATTTTCTCTCTCATAGTTACATTTGACAAAAGGAAGCAGTTCCAGGTAATTCACTTTTGAGCTGTAATGGTCATCTTTTGCTTGGGGTAAACTGAGACTTCAGAGAAAAACTATCCAGCAACCAAATACATTATCATCCACGAGCCCACTGTAGTGAATTAATAATTTCCTATCTTTGTTTTTAGTATTGTTTGAGGCGAATATAAGATGAAATGCAATTAAATTAAACAAAAGTGATAACCTAACCTGAATGTAAAGCTGTAGTTACAAGCTAACAACTTTGTATGTCTTGGACGTTTTCTATAAGTCATTATTTCCACCTAAAGATTCAAAGTGACATAATCAGTGAGTTGATGACAAGGTTCAGTTTCTTTACAAATATCATAAGAAACCCAATTATAAACACGCCATGTTTAAAAGACTGCAAACTACTGCGAGCTTTATAACAGAAGGAAGTGTTGCTGTGAAGGACAGTGCTTTTTCAAGGGATTTGATGCATTTCATGCGTGTTGATGGCATGTAGGGCTGACAAAGGGAGGAAGCAAAGCTCAACTTGGCCTTGGGTCTTTGGATCAGGAATTTCTCATTACAGATCTCCTTGAACTGCTGGCGGGACTCGGGGCAGTAAATCACGAAGCCTGCAGGTGTGGCCATGACCTTAGGCTGGGTGATCTCTCACTGTGCCCTCTCTTTCCTTTTTGCCTTACACTTGCCTACTGTAGCACCCACTTTTTGACACGCAATCCCGGAAGTGCTGGAGATTCTAAAATGAAGACATACTGTATGTTGACTGTCTGAAATGCGGAATTATTTCTCATCTGTAACTGTTGTTTTTTTTCTGTTATATTTTGAATACATTATCTTGAACCCTAAAAACATGATTAAAATTAGATTTTTTTTGCTGGGATTTGAAGGACATACCAATTACTAACTGGGAAAAAAGTGCTGCTGTGGTGTTTGTAATCTTTCTGCTAGCAGGTACTTTGGCAGACATATGGATAGCCGTCTATCTTGCCATCGCAACAACTGAGCAGATTAGATGCTACCCACGCTTAGTAGGACCGCATAATTCATTCCCCAGAAAGCTATTGTCACTTTCTCATTCAATCTCTTCCTGTGTCTCTGTCCTATCGTACCTCCCTCATACTCATATTTGTGCCTTTCTAAAATGCTGACCATTAAACTTGCGGTTACTCAAGGGCAGTGTTTTATTTACTCTCCAAAAGCAAAGGGAGACATTTTTTAATCCAATTCTACCACACTAAAAAAATAATAAATTAACAAAAAGCATGGTTTCAAAAGACAGACTCAAGGTCAGAGGCATCCAGATATTTCTTAAATAGCAACCAAATTTGTTCTTGTTAAGGTTCTTCTAAAGATCAGCCTTGAAAAAAAAACAAAAAAAACATTTTAGTATTTTAGTATTTGATATTTTAGTGCCCCCCAAAACTAAAAAAGCATAAGGAAATACAACCCACAAAGCATGAAAGTTACCTTTAGATGCCATTAATACCTGTTTAAACTGTTAGGTTGTTGAAGACACACCACTTTCACCACATTTAAAGTGACTCTATGGCGAGGGCAAACGTGTAGCAGTGTCCAGGGATGGACAGAGTGAGATGTAAGATTTTTTCCCTCACCATCTGTGACCTCCAGTTGAGCCTTGGCGAGAATACTGCCCGCGACGGTCAGGGCCTGGCAAATATAGTAACCTGCATCTGCCCGCTGCACGGATGAGATGGTGAGCTCTCCACTGGGCGACACTGAAAAGCGGCTGCTGGGCTGCTGGGGTTGGTTCGGAAAGAGTAGATTCTGTGGGAAGTGGAACAAACAGCCAATTAGTGTGAACATGAAACCAGAGGAACCTGGACAATTTGCAAAATCAACCACACACACATGACAACTAAACTCACACTCATGAAAGAAAAGATGAAACTGTTATAGAGACGGTATGAGCAATTAACTTCACATACTGCAAGACACGTATGCACTTAAAATACTTTTTTTTAATTATTTGTTTGTTAGGTTTTACTCTTCCAGCAATCCCACTCAATCAGTTTCATGTGTATTTTGACAACAAATGTCATTCTCAATTGCTTAAATCAAAGCCTCTATTTGAAAACACAAATCATCCAATTATAATTCAGTTAACTGTAAGGCCATTTTAAATTGATCAAGTCAATCCATTTAAAATCCAAATTATTCCCATTCATATAACACCAATTCAAAAGACAAAAAAGAAAGGATGCCCAGTGGCTCAACAAGGGAGTTGCCTATCCACATCCTGGAATCAAACAAATCTTGATCAACTTTATTCACAACTGCTGAAAAAAAGACCCTTCATTTTGTTGTTTTTTCATGTAGTAGTTCTTTTTAGGATCCCTAAAGAAACACAAAATATTATAAATTAAGATATTATGATGAACATATCCTGATTTTGGTTTCAATTTGCCTCACAGTATTTCCAGTATTACTAGGACATACACAGTATGTAGCCTAACATAGCTGAAGGCTGAAAAATTTGTTATGACACCCAAAATGAGCACTGAAAAGTTTCCGAGTTGGTGACGGTTTGACAGGTTAAAAACCTTTTGAAGCAGCGAATCTCTTTTTAATATTAAATATAAAAGTTTCATTCACAGCTTTTTATAAAGTTTATTAGATTGGTCTGCTTTAAAGATATAAAGATATGAAGCTCTGATCTTTGGTTCGTAAAAATATGTGTATCTCATTCACTGATATTCAGCAGAGAACGAATGACAAAAATAATCTTTATCAACTATCAGCCATTGGCTAAATTATGACTTTTAGCATCTGTATCAGGCCAGAATTTCTAAGCCAGTGCATCCCTCATGCTAACTGTACTTAATGAACTTTCATTTGTCTTCCCAACTTCATGTGTCACAGATCAAGTTTCGAAAACCGCTGACAAACAGATGGCAAATAAGTGCATCTGCTTGTAAAAAAACAGTTTGTGGTGCGTTCATTCCAAAAAAGCTCATCTTTAATGACAATGTGAGACATACACAAATACAATTTCTCGGTAGCCGTGACTCACGACAGATTAGGTCACACGTTTGTGGGTTAGTATTATTCCAAGTGTTTGTGCAAACATGCACGCATGTGAGCACTATTCACTCTTTCAAGAAGACCGTGTTGTTATTGTTAGCCTGAAGGCGTTTCATGAGCACATCGGTGTTTGTTTCAGCGTTAGCCAGAGCTGACTCATATCTCTGGCTCATCTACAAGCCCCAACAGGCTCCCTAATTGGCACTGTTGTTGACCGTTGAGGACAAGCAGGTATTTAAACGGGGTTATCTGCCTGAGTGAGGGATAGGATCGTTCTTATCTGCTCAGGGTCACAGAAAACCGATTAACAATTTGCCAGGCTCCACTGTTATTTGGCAGTTCCCGAGAACAAAGGTGTATCTGTGTGTCCGTAGCAGAGATACTGAAGACAGATAGCGCAGCCTGAAGTGCCCTTTGTGTATTTGCAGGGCAGGGGACCCTTGTGGAAAACAGCCAAAGGACTACAAATGTAAGAATGAATGTCAATAAGACCAGGCATAATTTGGACAGTGAAGGCTACTTACTAAGAGAGTAATCTGTCTTCATATGAAAGTCTGAGATTATTCTTAGAGATCAGACGGTGTGAGTGTGTGCTCTTACCTGGCTTCCTTCCTTCTGCCAGAACACAGCAGGTTGTGGATTCCCCTTTGCTTCACACGGGAAGGTGGCGGTGCGGCCTTGTGACACGATTTGATCCCTGGGACGTATGACGAACTGGGGTGCGGCTGAAGTCAAACGGCCAAAGAAACGTTAGCGTTAGAACATCGAGAGGTTCACGGCCAGGCCAAACAATAGCACTGGTAGTTTTCAGGGGTGAAGAATTTCAAGCAAAAACAAGCGATAATCAACATGTTCAACTCAATATGGGAGTGTGTCTATAGCTTTCATGCAGTATTAAATCTGTCTGAATACTCTGAACACAGAAAGAACACCGGGGGGCTGTCACGATAACCAGGTAGTCCATTCATTCTGAAGCCGAATGAATGACATTCACGTTGGCATTCACACAGAGTTACCTCAGTCATTGAAACATTTAGATCTGAGACAACATGTAGGTAAACCCATGCCCTCAAAACATCCAAAGTTGTAGTGTAGACAGGACTAAACAAACAGGGTTAATTGTGTCTGACTTTCCATGTGAAGCATTTACTCTTCATCAGAGTATCTCTCGTTTAAAGTCAAATATGAAGTGGTTTCACACCACTTCTGATCAACGTTTTTCTTCTGAAAGGGGGTGAGAACCAGAGCAGAGCATTTTCGTTTACCACACCTCAAGCTAACGCCTTGAAAAGCTATCAGACTTTGAATTCAAACTGTGAGGCTTTCTCAGTGAGTAATAACGACTCCATCTGCTGCCGGATCAGTTGTCAGGGAGACATTTTTGAATAACATGTTTTTTCTCTATTTTTTATTTTTCTTTACTTATATAACCATTATTTAACACTGAAAATTCACAGTAAGGAGGACTACTAAGTAGTAGTTGCAACGCATAAGCCCATACACTACCGACAAGGAAAAAGTTAACAGAGGTTTCTGTGAGTTTCAAAATGTTTACCCACCGTCAAATCTAATATCTTTTCTATACAGTCAGTACATTTTACACAAGGTAATTAGTCTCTGGGGGACATTGAATCCCAGTTTGACATGTACCATATTTTCTTAGAGAAGATATCAATAATGCATCTCCTACAGGATAAAACATAATTTGTTTGAAGATCATTAAAGTAAACAGATTAATGATACAAGGTCAATACTGTGACCCGTCATAGGTGCTGATAACAGGCACAATAAGTATAAGACATATTTTCAGTTTCTTGTCTGGTTCGTTCCTATTTTATAAAATAGAAATGTAAGTTGTTTCAATGTAACATCTTACACCCTCTATGCTTCTTTTGATTTCTTTGTAAGTCTTTTCAGCAACAAGCCAGGCTGTTCCAGTAAGACCAGTCTCTTCCCATTTGGCTGGTTTCTGCATGTAATTCCCTTTTGAGGCTGTGTATTTGTCAAAGATACACACAGTTGGGAATGGTACAGATGGCAACAGATTTACTGCCTTCCTGTTTGGCCTTCTGCAGCTTGGATATCTCATGGCACTCATAATGCTGGGCTTGATACACAGCTCCTAAATCATGCTCTGGCAAGGACACGGTTCCCTCCCTTTTCATCCTCCGCTCTGCGCCATTCCATACTCCACATTGATAAGTGCTTACTGAAAATATGGCTTCACACCTTACAGTGGTCCCTATTATCCTGCAAAAAGTTGCCCTTTCCTACGTTGTCATCATTAGTGACTTCCAATTTTTAAATATATTGGCTGATGTTGTCTTAAAAACTGAAATAAATCCAACCCTGTCTGTAAAAGTGCTCCCTATTTCCCTTTAAAGTAGGCGGATGTTGTACATAAAAAGTAAATGAAACCAAAAGAAATCAGTATATACTGTATACATATCCCTATTTAGAACACAGAGTTCTGTCAAACAGGCTGGAGTTATGTGAATGCATTTGGGGTTTATAAATGGTATTTGGCAAAACTATCCTGGTGAATTATTTTTATTGGAGCGACCATCGATCATTTTGCTTCAGCCTTTCTCCAATAAAGATATTTTTCAGTACATTTTTTCAATTCTATCTTGAGAAAACAAAATTCATAGGGGAAATGCGACTAGCATGAAAAAGCTCAGCAGGCACCAATAAAAAGCAAAGATAAAGAATTTACTGAAAGGAAATTAGGTCATCAGTGATATGTCCCAGCATTAGTCCGGACTAACTCCCTGTTGTCCTATTTCAATTGGAAATTCTTAATGACACATGAGAAGCTCTTTCCTGTCCACTCCAAAGGAAACACATGATCAGGGGCCAATATTTAATTCATGACGAGTCACCTCTGTCTGGTGTGAAGGGGGTTCTGCTTCTAACAGCAGTCAGGGTGAAAAGAACAAGTGGACAAAGAGACGGAGATCCATTCAATGCTGGCAGTCGCAAACATTTCCTCCTCCTTTAAAAACCCACGTTCAACCATATTTTATTCAAAACTTGACAGCAATTACTGCCTCTTCCCACAGGCAGACTGAATGTGTAATTTCCTCCATCTTCTAGGAAACTGACAGTTTGACAATCGTTGAACAGCTACTGCTGTTTTGGCAACCGGAGTCCTGCCACTAACACAGAGTCTGTTTTTTTTCCCTTACCAGTCAAGACTGTCTTGACACACAGTTCTGCTATTATTTTCCCCCTCCGTTCCTTGTCGCAATTAATATTTACTTTACCCACGTTAATATGTTCCTGCATTCAAAAGCGCACCTCTCTCAAGATGCCTACCATAACAATTAAGTTCACCAGATTTTTTTTTCCGTCAGACGTTGTTTTTTTAGTCTACAGAGAAATAAAATGAGAGTCTCTGTGCTTTTTTTTTTTTGTGGGCTCTGTGCTGTGGGGACCAGTGCGAAAGAAGCTTGTCCAAGGCAAATAGATCTCAGCTGCGTGTTCCAACACTTCACAGATGGCTTCGAGACTCAAACACAACTTGGACCATATGAGATGACAGTGTCTTAGACTATTCTACTGCAAGCCCACTCACTCATTGTTAACAATCTAGAGTCTCAGTACCATAGTTTTGGGCAAAACTGCAAACATGCTCGATTTTCTATATTTTGATACAACTGAGCTATGGAAATGTGTTGTCGGAGCCTACAACAGTTCCATCAGGTGTATGTAGAATACGTCATAGTGATAAAAACAGTAACAGAGGGCCAAATAACACCTGCCAAGAGGCAGAACAATACATTTTAGAATTTGTGACATAAATGTGCTGAATATAGCCTTATACACATGTCCAAATGCCTGATTATTAACAAGCTGGACTCTATATATACCAAATAAATATAGTCTCCTGGTTGCTCTGTGTTAATTTAAGTTACTCTTTCACATTCAGCACACAGACATTCATAATGACGTCTATTTTCACTACTTTTCTACTATGCTTCTTAAGGTTCTTTATTAAGGTTTTATTAAGCAATTGAGTTAGAGCTGAAAAATATCCAAAGTCAAAATAGTCAGTTTGATTAGGGAAAGACCAATTTGATGAGAAGACATCGTGATGAAATGTTTTGTGTTAGTCCAATGCGGAAAATTTGACCCACTGGTCAAACGTTAGTGTGTGAGTGCGACAGAGAGAAGCTCATGCAGGATGGCATCAAATCAGAGGGATGGGTACTTACCGACAGGGCGAGCTGTAGACACAACAAAGGTTGGGTGAATACACAAAAGAAACAAAGTAAGACACAGACGCACAGACATATAAAACAACAAAGAAGGAACAGAAGAAAAGTAATAGAGTAGGACAAAAATAAAATCATGATCAGAATGATGATATGTTGACCTGATGTTAAAACACTTTTGATATTGTCAGATATCAGAGAAGATCCAGTGGCTTTTTGTCCACTGAACACTTTATTTATGAGCTCAAAACATTGGCCTCTTAGATCTTTTAGAGACCATTTGGTGTAAAGACCCACTTGTGGTTGCCATCTACATTCAGATCCCCATGGGGGTAGTATTATTTGCTTTTAGGGACAAATATACTACTGGATCTTTTCTGACCGCATTAATGAGATCGGCAGTTCTCTGGATGGTGTGCGTTGGTAATTGGAAGGCAAACATGTTTATCACAGTAGCTAATGGAGAGAGCAGAAAATAAAAATAATAGAGGAAAAATTAAATTAAAAAAGCAGAATGTGGGTTACATTCAGAGGAGTTTTTCTTTTCCGTTTTGTGGTTCTGTGTCTTTGTCTGTGTTGCTGTTCATGATGAACAAATTAAGCTTTAAAAAAAAAAGTGGTGAGATTTTTTTTCTTGTCTCTGGCCCTCTGTGTTGCTCCAAAGTGCTCCACAGAGGCGCAAAGCACTTGGGTGTGATAAGAAAAAAAAAAAGCGGGGAAAATAGGAAAAAAAAAATACAGTTTGAATGTTTTTATTAACCTTGCACACCTCAGGTGTGGTGCTGACGGTGTGCACCAGTAATCTGTGAAATGGTTTTGCTGACTGGGTGGTTACGGCATGGAGGAAGCAGACCACTACTATGGGGGGAGGGGGGGGTGACAGAGTGTGGCGATGCTGCACTTGGAAATGTAAATAATTAAAAAGATTCATAGACTGTCGACATCTCTCTTGGCTACAGGAGTCTGTATGCTGCATCTTAATTTGAAACCTGACAATTTCAACCTGGCACTGGTGTGAGGGAGCATCCCTTTATGCTGCCATGGGCTAGTTCATGGGAAGAAAAATGAAAAGTGTTTTTGTTTGATACCTCTGACTGTGAGACTGGCGGAGGCCTCCAGCTTGCCCACACGGTTTTCCGCCACACAGGTGAACGAGCCCTCGTCATTAACGGAAGCCTTCTTCACCCTCAGCACGTAGTCGTCCTTGTCATACTTGATCTCATACCTGCAAAACAAAGCGGCAGCATCATGGAAAACATGCTTATGTGTGAGCGTTAGACATAAACACTATAGATTGGATAAAATATCAACTCTACAAAATTACTATGTTCACTCGGACTTCATCCATTCGTGTTTAGTTGTTTAGCTGTTGGTTTTAAATGCGTTTTTCCCATTTTGAGAGGCTTCAGGGAGACCAAGCAGCCCCTTTTGACAATTGGAAAGTGCAAGGAGGAAAATTAATCATCTAAAAGTTGCGGCCTGTATTGAGTTTTCAATATTCACTATACCTGCATATCTGCCATTTTGAGTCTCAAGCAACTGTTTGGACGTACAGTTTAAAGCTTCTATACAGATTAAAGCAACCACGACAAACAGCACTCTGTTTATCCGTGTTTGCCAACCTGAATGACCTGTATGGCGCTCCACAGAGGGCTGGTGTTGGTCTGGGTTATTGCGCCAGTCTATAATTTCACAGGATGCTGGTCGAAGTGTGTGTAAACAGTGTGCGAGTGGTTCTGTTTGACAGTGGTCTGTCAGGATGACAACCCTCTGCCGTCCACTGTCTGTCAATCACAGAAACTGAGCACAGAGCTGAAATAAACAGATAAAAGGCCACTGTGTTTGAGCCAGAAACAAGTTTCCCATCTTGAGACCATCTTGAGACTTCTAAGTGATTACATTTCTTACTAAATTATTTGTAGAAAAAAAAGTATGATCCTTGTAAAACTGATATAATCCTTGCCATTCTTTTTAATCTCTCAAGTCAGTTTGACTTCCACAATATAAAATCCTTTTAATATTGTGTGTATCTCATTAGCCATAAAAGGATAAACTTGTAATCCAACAACTATAAAACAAGCAGTAGAGCAAATACCACCAAAAAGCTGTTTTAGAACGAACCCCAGTGAATGTGTTCACAATAAAGAAGAAACACACACCCCTTGACAACAACATGAATGTTTAAAGTGTATTCATAAAGTGTATTCATATCACAACAGAACTTTACAAAACACAACTTTCACTGAGAAACAATCCAATTGTTTTGGAGGTTTTACATAACATTAAAAATGTGACAGTTGTAACTAAGATTTGTGGATAATAAGACTTAGTCTGGACCATATATTGAACAGCAAAGTGGTGTAAGAGGTGTAACTATGTTTCAGAGTAATGCTTTCTGAACTGACTGCAGGGTAACTGTTCTATCTCCAGTGGTGGCTGTTTGCCACAGGCAGCTGCAAACCTAATTTGACCTGTCTGTCCACGTCTTTTTTTTTTTTAAACCTACTGTTATGACATCTGCTGAAAAAGCATTCAAAGGATTTTTTAAGCACATTCCTCAACTATGACTGCCAGTTTCACCTCTTCACACAGGGACTTAAAAAAAAAACATAATGATTTTTTGACTGAGTCATGACTGAAGGCTTTGTTCAGAAGAGAGGGGATGTACAGTTTGTGGTGGGAGTGTGGATAAGGCGTTTATTGTTGAAGCGAAAAAGCTGAGTGGCAAAGGAATGAGTCTATTTCTTTTGAGACATGCCTGCTGTCAAATGAAAAACAATCTAATAGACAGAGTATAATTCCATAGCCTGACTTTGCGATATATAATGTATGGCTCAATATGAACTCTTGACTTCAGTCAGAATCAGAATTGGTATTTATTGCCAATAAGGATGTGAAAATGAACTAAAGGGTCACAAAGAGAAGTTTGGTCAACACTGCGGCTGCCCAGCGAGAAATGATAAGAATGAAATTTTTTTTTTCCACTGATTTAAATACACTTCCCTAAAAGAGGTTTTTCTGTTAACAAAAAGGCTTTCCCTGCATACTGATGCTCTTATATGGAAAAAATATATAATAATTTCATGAATATCTAGCATCATATAATACGTACTTACAGTACTCAGTGTGCTTAAATGCATTGTATTTTAACATAGCGGAATCCCAAGCCATTGTCTATATATATATATATATATATATATATATTTCTCAAACAGTTACTGATCGAGACTAGAAGTTGGCATGCACCCTTTGATTTTCTGTCAGATGCGAGTTCCCAAGTCATTGTTCTTATGTAAAACATTTCCAATCGTATTTCTTTGATTTATTAAGCTCCATAACACACCTATAATTGCTTGTGTAAAAATTTGCTTATTTTCTAGAACACTCTTTACGCTCAAAATGCTTGCACAGCCATGACTATGAATTAAGTGACTTGAGGAATGATTTTATTGCTTCTTTTTCTTTGACAATAGCTGCACTTTGCCATTTCACTTTAACTTTGAATTTAATTAAAGATACTGTCATCACTCATTGAAATGTTAACAATTGGAAATGCTCATCCGGGTTCCCACGGTCTTGACTGATCGTGACGAGAACCCAGGTATGCATATGTCGAACAACAGCCTTATTGTTCTTTTTCCTGTTTCAATAAATCTCTCAAAACAGAACCTGAGGCTGATCCATGACTTATTAAAGGGACATGAGTTCAATCAATCTGTAATCAACTTCCTATATGGAATCATCGTACATGACAAGATGAGTGGGAATACTCAGAGATTGGTTATAAAACACACATTTTCAGAGTGGAATGGATGTGATGGATGATGCCAATGGATGCCAAGGATATGGTTTCAGTATGACTAATTTACTGTGCACGCATTAAAAGAACTACATTTCAAAACTCTTTCAAAAAACAGCAAGGGAATTTATCTTTAAAGTGTCTATCAGGGATGCAATCACCCGTATTCATCCTTCACAGTTCTGATACTTCACCCTCATTCAGAGATTTGTATCTCTTCAATGGAAAAAATGAACGTGTGATGTGTCCACAACATTACCCTCTAACATCTGAATAGAGCTGGAGGTGGTCAGAAGTTCCTATTGCCAACTCTGGGCACAAGTCAGACTCAAGATACAATACAGGCCTGACTCCAGCTTGGTCTGTGACCTGACTGCTCTGGCACAAAGTCCCTTCTCTGCTCCATTTCACCCTCAGAGTGTGATCAGGTTGCACACCATCTGACTGCCACATTCCTTCAACCTCATCAAAGGCGCTGAGGTCTACCTGCGCAGGCCCTGTCACCCATAAGAGGGAATCAATTACCCACTATCGCTTCTCATCTTGCTTCAGATAGGCCTTTAACAAGACCTGCCCTCGCTCTGATCCCTGGCACTTGTCATGGCCAAGAACCTCATGACTTTTATCACTTTATCCTGCTTTAATCACTGAGCATTTTGGCAAGATTTCAAACTTCACTGTCAGTTTCAGGGGAAAATCTTAACCTGATATGTTTTTTTTATAAGGAGCTACTTCCTCTCTGTCCCAAAGCAACAGTGCTGTGGTGCTATTTTTACTAAATCAATATGGTTTGGAAAGAAAAGAGCTCTCTGACTAAAGCAGGACGCTGCATACTTTTGTTTTTTCTGCGAGCACTTCTGCGAGTACTTATTCATGTGTTGTGTGAAGACTAAACAAAAAGTAATAAGACTTTATAAAAGAATGTGTTTCTGTTTGTCTTTGCCCGAAATTCCATATATACAGCAAATCATCCCAATCATATTGAATCAAAAGGTTTAACTCAATTACATCCTCCTTTACAGATAGTTCTTAAATTATTTATCCGTATTGAAACCCAGTCACCTCACTAAGCCCCCTTAAGCTTTTTCTTGTAAATATCAGCTGCATCTAAGGGAGACAAGGAGACAAGAACCATGGCAGTCATATTTTCCTTCTGCTGAGTTGCAGTGGTGAGAAATCACTAAAACTGGACGGTCAGCATAATGTGGGAGCTCCTGTCACACTAGCTTTAACAGCTCTCTCAAATGGAATAACCTCAACACCTCTGAAAAAAGAAAAAAATACTAACCAGCCTGCACATACATAAACAGAATGAAAGAGTCAGAGGGAATTGTTTTTCACTCGAATGTTAGAAGGGTCAACAGAGATAAAGGGCTGGACTACAGATGGCCACAAGAGCAGCGAGCCTCTGATAAGGGACAGGAGAGGGCACGGGAGAGCAGAGTTTGTGAACCACAAAGGGAAAGATAGAGTCCACATTCAGGTAAGCAGAGGATGGAGACCTTTTCGTTGTAGTTCCTACACAGAGATGGATTATTTCTACAATGAGACACACAACTCTTTAGTGGCTTCTTATGTTGCGAATACTGCACTTTCCTCAACAATCCTCAAGCCTAAATGTCTTTTTCTGAATGTGATACTGATGGTTTGCATTTTAATACTAACAACTAAGCAGCTGAATGAAAATGAACAAATCCACAATTTCCAACTTTGGAGGATGTTGACTTTTTCTATATTACGGCACATCTGAATCCAATATTATGCATACAGTAAAAGAAATAACTACAAGCAGGTGGTTAGAAAGTTCCATTTAACATGTGCTGGTCAGTAATTTGTGCCTAACGCAAAAGTAGATGATATATTATCTGCAGTCTTGGTAATAATTAAAGTCCCAGTGACTTCCTGCTTTTTTTATAATTTAGCTCCTGTCCTAAGCGATACCTGGTGTATTAGTTTAATTGGTTCGGAACACATTTTAATTTGCTGCTCAAGAAAGTCCTATATTGCCATTCCAAAATAATCAAAAATAAAAGACAAGACAGGAACCCACAAGCTACGAAAGGCCTATTTCTAAATTCAATTCTAGTAATTTCATGCCCTTATCAGTTTCATAACAGTGGGCATTCAGTCATAACTGTAATTGAACTAGCTACAGATTATGACTGTGTCATACCTGGTACGTCCAGTTTTTTTTTCTTCCTTTGAACTTTCTGTATGCATTTGTATTATTCCAGCGAGTACTGCTGTCACATTCAATGTTAGTTATGTCGAGAAGGATGAGTTTTTCACTCTCTTACTGAAACCGTAACTCAGAACTGAGGTTTGTGAAATCTTGGGAAATGTCAGAAGAAAAAAGAAAAAAAAAGGAACATTCCAGTACAGTACATGAATAGAGCTATGAAAGACGGTGGACACTGAGCACTTTCCTTTTTAGATATAAGTCTTGCGTCAGTGTAAATGTTTACTTAGTGAATGAAAGAATATTCGATGTTGTGACCAGACATTTTAATTTAAGGTGTCAGACTATTTACTCTGACATGTACCAGACTTTAATTCAAACTGTTTCTGAATTAATTAAAATAGATGTAATGGATGTTGTAACACTGTAGCTCCAAGCTCTGTTGAAAATTGTCCAAGAGAAGATAAGATTTAACCATTTTAATTGATTATACCTATTACTTATTTTTTTTTTTTTAGGAATACAGTAAAAAAAAACACACACTTGTAAAGCGGCAGGCACGACTGTCCTTGCCTTTTAATTGAAAGCATTCTTCTTCTCTCTCTGTCTCCTCCTCTATCCCATGGAGACTGAAGCCACTGCCATCTTGGCGCGTTTTGCCTCCGCTGCATGTGCCAGTGTGCATGTGTGTTTGCCTGTGAGGCAGCTGGAGTCACCCAGCATATTAACAACCTGTTTACTCAGCTGAGGCACCATTTCCCTTCTTCCACATATAAAAGTAGCGCGAGCAGAAACCCACCGAGAGACTCAAGTATGTAAAAGCAGAGCAGCAAAGACAAGTTGAAACAATTTGATGTTAACAAGGAGCCGCCTCGCTAAGTCTCTCTCTCTTTTAACAGCTTATCATAATAATAAGGACAGAGTAACCTTTTCAAATACAAAGCAACAGACCGAACCACACCCCACTGCAAACAGGCCCGCTTGATCTTCTGTGGGCTTTCATTCCTTTGGTGAAGATACAGGTGGAGGGGCCCAGTGTTATGTGTCAATGGCAACATTTCCATTTCTTCTTCTACTGTGCAAGTCTTAAAAGTCCTCCTGTCAGTCAGACAGAAGCCCGTTTTGATGTTTACTCAGTGACAATAAGGAGTGCAGACAGTCGCTTAACAATATGAGGAGAAATCACTTTTGGAAGGCAACAAAGGCTCAATGAAATGTTTTAATTAAAATATTATCTACAAAGTCATGCTGGCTTCTCCTTCAAAGCAACATAGGGAGATTTGAATGTGGCGAATAAAATAAGAATTACTTCACTGCAATTAGAAACAATGACATATTTATCGTTAATTCATTTTTCAGTATCTCCGTCACGCTTATCATGCCCAAATAGGGCCAAACTTCAAACGGATGGATTGATTAATGAGGATGCCGGCACATGACTCATCCAACTCAGTTCGAAATCTGTTAATTACAGTACAAAACGAAACTCCTTTCAAGAGCCAACTCTTCATCAAATACTCGAGCGAAATACTTTTATATGTTTGCCTTGGCACATGGCTCATATGCCACTGCCCAGTGAACCGAATCCTTATCAGACGCAAACAATCCGCCCACGCTCGGCTCTGCGGCGGGCCTTAGGAGATGTCAGGTCCACTGAGTGTAGACTTTATGAGGCGATCCAAGTGGTGAGTGACTGGCCTGCTGGCTGATAGAAACGCTGGTCTGTTTGAAGTCCATCCTGACGGTAACAGCACTGCTGATCGTGAGTTAAGTGACTCACAGTGAGGGGATAGGTCCAGACACACCCGACACAGTATCAACGGCACCGCTATGTCATCAGCGGCCAGCCAGACGTCGTGCAGTTGGCAGCGCTGCACATATTTTCTCTTCAGATTACAGACCTGAATTGCTTTTCTCTCATCTCAGTTTCTGCTTTTTGTGACTAAACGCTTTTGTCATGTTTGTGAGGGCACGCTGACTGAATTGGGTCGAATGTTTGTTCTATGTAGCGATTATCTTCCAGTTTCTTCTAGGTGTCAGTGCCAAGTTCTCTTCTGAGCAGCTGTGCTGGTGCAGATGTTTGAGGGTCATATCAGTTGATTTAGATACTTCCTCCATCTCCTGCCATTCTGCCTCCCTCCCTATCTGGCTGCTTAACAAGTGAGTGTAAGTTTTTTTTCTTATTTTCTACTCCTCTAAATGTCTCCCTTATTGCATTCCTGCCCATCTACCTGTCACTCGTCTTTAGTTATTTATTTTTTTGCTCAGTATCTGTTCAGTAGACCTCTCGGCTGACAGGAGATACTGGATCACCCTGATGTTTGGTGCATCAACATCTCAAATTGTTTGTTTTCTGAATGTGTAGTTTATCTGTTAACTGTCGTCCTCATTCACACCATATGAAAGCTGGCGAGTAATCTATCCTTAGTTTGAAATAGTCATTGAGAACATTCTTGTTAAGGTACACACCTCCCACGAGGAACATCGGTGTCATCTTTCCTCCAGCGTACGTTGGGTTGGGGGTCTCCTTGTACCTGGCAGCGGAACTCCACCATCTCTTCTTCCAAGACCACCTGGTTGATGGGCCTCCGCAGGAAGGTTGGCCTCTCTAGAAGATGGGTGAACAAAGAGAAAACAATTTGTCTACTTCTTTGATGACATAGTTCTTACACTCTTTCTTACAGTTAGGGTCCCAATAGAAACTTTTTTTTTACTAACGTTTCAGTCTGATTCTATGATCTCATAACAATCTACCGGAAAACTCAAAATAGGAAGTCTAACAATTGTACAATTCAACAATTGTCAATTCAATATAAAGTAATTTAAGATGAGTAAGCATGGAGAAGAATTATAATAGATGGAAACGTAACAGTATTTTCAGTGAGCAAAACCATCAAAATATCTAAACTTTGCAATGAATAATATTCTTGAGAGAAAATCCTACCAAACACTGTAACTTGTGCTGTCTCGCTGTCCCGTTCACCGACCATGTTGGTACCCACACAGATGTACATGCCAGCGTCACTCTTTCTTGTGTTGGAGATCATAAGCTTCCCTCCTCGAATCTGAATAAATAAGAATAAACACACAAACCTTATGAAATTCACAGGTTATATGTTTTATACATTTCCCCATATATATTATATTTACACTTTCCCATTCTCATTCATTGAAGTAATCCACTAACAAAACTATAATTATTGCTAATACTTAATCATGTTTAATTACAAACCATTCAAGCTGTCAGTGGTATAAAAAATATGGCTGCACATGTTGCTATGGTCTATTAATTTTAATAGTTTGCAATGTGACTCACAGTGATCCTGTCATCCTTGTCGTCAATTCGCACTTTGTCCTTTTTCCAGTAGATGGTAGGCTCAGGATGACCTCTGGGAGGGACACACTCAAGAATAGCCGGCTCTCCTGCTGCCACCACCACGTCAACAGGATTCTGTCGAAAGTCATCTCGCAGCACTGAGAGGGACAAACAAGAAGTTGATTCAGAAAAGAGTAACCCATGGAATACGTAAAGCAGTTAAATCTCAGTTACATAATGTTTCAAGTTTACCATTTTAAAAGTGTCTACGTATGTAATGAATAGTGTGAAAAGTGCAGTGTGAACGTGGGCAGCACTTAGGGGGCTATTTAAATGGGATGTGCAGCTCCATCTGACTGGGCGAGCAAAGTGAAAGCTAATTGGAGCTAATGGAGGTCCCCGTGGAGACAGCAGAACAAACAAAGGCAGAATGCCCTAAAGCCTAGTGTCATTCGCTTGTGAGAGCTCACAGGGGTGCAATCCTGCTTTGTTTCTCTAACATTAACACATTCAGATGTACACGCAACCAAATGTATTCTAACACATGAAAATCGGTAGGTGGTCTGATGAACTGCTGTGCCCCTGAATCTAATCACCCCCAGGTAGGCCTTTCATCAGAGAGATAACCTATCAACCCACATAGTGCCCAGATATACACAAGTTGGGTGAATAAAGTATTTTACATTCAGTTCTACAACATGATAGGATATCTAACACCAGCTTATTATAAAAAAGGAGAGCAACTGTCACACAGACACACACCACTGAGCACAGATGCAAATGTGAGTCCAAATAGGCTCAAAATAACGCAACTACCAATAAGAAATGCAATTCCAGAACAAAAACAGAGCAAAGTATAATTTTCATACAAGTCAGGCAACCTATAAAAAAGTCCCAGAAAAAAAAAGTTCAAATGTATAAACTTGGGTTTACTATGTCTCCCCTGCTGTGTACTCAAACAGTCTTTGCTCTGTTTAATCTATGGTAAATCTAATCCTTGGCGTAGTACTTAAAGAATGTCAATGTCAGCAGAGTGTCCATCAGTGAAGCAAAGGACATAGGATTCCTCTGATGGAAAAAAAGCTTTAGCTTGGTGGGGGATATTTGAAGATTCTTAAGATGGGCTAAATTAAGGGTGGCACCACAGGTCCTTATGTAAATTCAGTGTGGCTCATGAGACATTGGTAAGCTGGGCCAGGATTATAAGAGGGGATAACTGGTCCCTGTGCTCCTGGCTTTTCTCATCTCTCCACTCACTCTTCTTACCCTCTCTACAGACAGCCACATAGCCATTGTTACCTTATTTATTTATTTAGAGCGAGGGGCGGCAGAGTGGAGGAAGGGAGGAAGCTTTCAACCCAATTATCCTGGGGATGCACAGGGGCACCGAGTGGGACTATTGTGTGACTTGAATTCAAATGAAACCTTCACACAGGGGTAATGGCAGAGGTAGAGATAGATATTTTCTATCTTGCGCAGGACTGCCCTCTAATCTAAAGAGCTATGGTAATTAGCCATCTCCAGCATGCCGGACCCCCTAGCCATTCTGAGCAGAACAGCTATCGCCACTGGCCTCCCCGTATTTGCATTACAAACAGATCTCCTGCAGTTTAAAATCATAGCCCATTTTGGACCATACACAGGCTGTTGTTTTCAAGATCACATTGGCCTTAATTGCTCCCTTCCATTCATTCCTGATAGCACCCGTGGGATTTTGTCCGAATTCATTTAGTTTGAAACGGAACGGTGACAAAAGAAGCACACATTAGATGCATCGTGATGGCCATTGTGCCACAGTGTCTAATTCAATTTAATACAGCACTGTGTCACAGTAAATGCATTCCTACCCTTCAATCTAAACAAATGCACTCAAGGAAACATAAACAAGAAGCCACTTAGCTAACACGGAGCAGCCATACATACCTGCAAATGAAATCAAACATACACAAGCAAGCACTTGTTGAAGACTAGATAAACATTTGCTCACAATGATTACGCCCACCAGGTACACCTACAACAGACAATAGATGAATACTTCATATTCCAATCTAACTTCTCACAAGTCACAAAAGTAAATATCATCCTATGGTTTAAAGTCACACATAAAGAGAAAGATATATTCACAATTCATTGTTATTTGCTCCATTTTGGAAGTTGAAATTAGATTTCTTTCGCAGCACCATTGCTGCCTAAGGACACCTCCCTGAGTAGCACTATGTCAGTAATCATAAAGCTTTTACATTAGTATTATAAGAGTAGTGTTCTTTTTTTTCTTCTTGTCTAGTTAGAGTTCATGAAATGCATCTTATATGAGTGCATCATTAAGTGGGTCTGTACATATGCTGTCAGAAGATGAACTCTGGCTCAAAATCTGAGACCCTGTAGGCATTCAGTCTGAAAAACAGCTAACAGACGTAAGTAATTGACTACCTATCCCCCTGAAACACTCAGCCTCCCTTCCACTGAGAGCGTTTCACCTCCCTTGGAGTTCCAGCAGGCCACAAACTCTGCAGTCTTGCTTATTAATATTTATACAGTTTTACATGTATACCCTCTCCTGACAAGTGCTACATCTGTCAATCCAGCTGCAGGCTAAAAACAAAATAATGTCTGAAAAATATTAATACGCCTTTGCCTATCAGACTTATTTATTTATTTCCTAAATATCACAGGAGTGGGCTGATTTAAATGAAGGTGCATCGGGCTGGGGGGCACAGCATAGCTAATATACAGCGCTTTCAGCTGGCAGTGTTTCAGTACGGAGCCAGCTGTGGGAGGGACCCAGGTTGCAGGCTGTGAAAAAGGCCAAAGGGCTTAGAGTGGAGCTCTTTGCCAACACAGACACACAAAAAAGATACCAACACAGTTACGCTTTATTCAGGGTGTCCATCACTGGCTGGAGAGTATCAGGGAACTCTAAGGGTGGGGTGTGATTTTCTTATTTATTACTAATGCCGGATTCTTTGCGAAACATTTAGGCTAAACCCAGATACGATGGATGGCAAAACAAACAAGTGCCATCGCAGCTAAAGGGGTGGCCTGGCAAGGCCAAGATGAGAAACAATATTGTGTACAGTTCACCACCTTTTGCTCTAACCCACGTTATTTCTCACTGGAGGGTGACATTGCCTGTCTGAAAGATTAGTGGGCAACCTTGACTGAAGTGTCCGGCTTGCATACAGAGATAAGTGCTGACAAACATATTCACCTAAAAGAACACACCTTGCTTTAGCGGGCTATTGAAAAAGCTGCAACACCACATATCTGAATCCAACCCATGGCATTCATGTTATTTATGGAAAAAAAATCATCACATTCTAAACTGAACACAAATCTGACCTATTCTTTGATGGTGCAGGGATGAGTGTCTTTTTAAAATGATTGCACACAAAATCCCGGTGTGACATAATACCGTGATGACCGTAGACAAACTCCATTTGTCTGAAAACAAGTCCTTTTGCTTGCTATGACCAGCTCATTTGCCCTCCCACAGGCCAGAGCTGACCTTTGCCCCTCATCCAGATGCAGAAATTACATCCTCAGCAGGCCGGCGAGTAGAAACTCCACACATATCCCCCCGTATTACTGCTCAGAAGGGGTTGCAGGTCAGAGCAAAACAGCTGCGGCAATATGTCTGTCCGGCAGTGCCAAAGGCTGTCCCTCCTCTGAGAGCCGAGGAGAGCTTCACCCTCTAATCATTAGCACAACTCGCAGCCGTCGTTCTCTGCCTGTCTTATTTTCACCATCGTCAGGAGCCGTTCCTGATCTTTCTCTTTCCTCCATCTCCTAAATTAATAATTGTTTTTCATATCTGCAGCATTGAGTGATGCATGGCACCGTGCTCCCGCTACTCACTCCCTGATCCTTGTCTGTTTTCTGTCTGCTCTGACTGCAGATGAACCCGAACGCCAAACCCACTCGCTCTCAACAGACTATGGCCAGCTGATATAATCTCTACCTTCTACCGTCCCTATCTGCAAATCCTGAGCTAAGGGATTGTAAATAACACTGTCACTTTCGGAGATAAGATAGAGCTAAAATGGAAAATAGTGGAAGTAAAGAGAAGCACATTGCTGGCGATGATATTGTGAAGGGGTGGAAGATTCACAGGTGGGGAAACCGTATGAAATGTGCATCTTTAATAATGGCTTGGAGGGGATAAAAGAGACTTCAGTGCTTCTGTGCTGTGATGAGAACACAGAGAGAAAATAAACAAGACATAAGAAACACAACAGGGGATGGGGAGAGGATGCCTGATCAAGGTCAATGCGAAAATGCGATGAGGACAACAAAGATGCTAAATTGATAGGGCTGAATGAAATACATTCCATCACATGCACGGCTCAAACTGTGCATCTACCTGTGACCGAGCAGATAAGGTTAAACAAACATCTTTATTTAAAGAGCAGCCCCATACAAAGCTAATTTTTCAAACAGAACCTTAATTCGGCCTAACAAGCCCCAGAGCAGCTCAGTAATGACAGTAAAACCGCAGTGGGCCATTCTGTTGGCCGGGAAAAGAGAAACAAAACAATTAACTCTTAATGAACCTCTTCCCTTTACACATATACTACACTCATGTTCACACTCGCGCACGCACGCGCGCACACACACACACACACACATACCCACACACACAAAATTCAATTTAGCCTAATCTGGGTTTTATGGTAATGTATAGCTCATTAAAATGTTATTTAAAAACTCATTAAAATTCACTTGAAGAAGTAATGGCTTCATTACAGTAATATGGTGAAAAGAAAAGAAAAAGACAAGTAAGGACAAGGAGAAGAAAGAGAGCAGAGAGCGACAGCTTTCTAATCACTTAATTGTGTCTAAAATGGAATACATTTGCATAATAAATAACGACGTGGTGTATCCTCCTATGTATCTTTCCTCATCCTCATAGCATTCTGTAATTAAGAAATGTTGCAATTATAGACGTATTTTTGCACCACAATGATTTTTGGGGACACTCGTGATTTGATTCTGTTGTCTTTTTTATGGTCCTGAGTGTGATTTGGTGGCTTGGCAGATGCAGGCCGTGAGCTAAAACTGGAGCTGGCTGATACTGATGAACAATGTGCCTGTGGGCCTTTGTGCCGGCTCCGATAAGGCACGGTGCCGTACTCAGTTCAGTCCAGAACGGACACTTTGCAGCCGGAAGAGGGAGTAAGACGTAAAGAAGCAAAAGGGGTGGTGTTTGTGGATGAGAGTTG